GATATCCGGAAGACTTCCGGATATACTACGAGACCCGTCTGGACCTTCGGACGCGTTATCGTTAGTACTTTGAAATAAGGGACAGTACTTGGGAAAGGGGCACAGCGTACGAGCTGAGGCCGAAGTCCTTCGGATCCGATCCTACGAGAGTACGACCTTAACACCTATTATCACTGCCATAGTTCATGTGCCCGTCAGCACCATCGCAAGCCATCTACTTGGTATCATCATCATAGGCTGGGCATTCAATATGAGTTGCTCGGTCATCCCCAATGTCATGATCCTACATTCAAGCCGCATTGAATGATTCCCTCTCAGTCCGTCTCGGGACGTGAATTCAGGCTTCTCATTGCTCATCGGACATTAGCCATCAGACATGTTGCCCATACCCTCTGCATCAGATTTTCGTGTTCCTTTTATCCTTGGCAAACATTGTGCTTAGCCCTATTCCGGTGGTCATTTGCCTTCGGCACTATATCGGCCATTGAGTTATTTATGGCCTTTGGGCCTCACCACCACCTACATGCACTGTTTTCCCTCACTGTCCCATCAGTCTCCATTGCCGATTGCGCTAGTGAATCGCTCTCTTGCAGCCCTGGTAGCTTTCTCTATGGGTCTGATGACTAACTCGCGAGCCATCATTATTAGTCACCACTCTTGCCTAGCCCTTCAAACACATTCACCTGCTACAATGGGTAGACTGCATGTATACTGCACATACATTATTCGCTCTGCTGGTGATTCCTTCCTTCCTCCCCACTGCCCAGGCAACCATTCCAGCCTATCACCTTCTGAGGAGTAGGGCAGTTACACCAGATTGTATCAAGCGATTACCTTTGCTGCAAGCATTGACCTAATTTTATGATCTGTCCTAGCGTCCATCCAGTTTCTGTTTTGCCACGGCAAGGCCAGTGTACCTGGACTTTGTTTTCGTCTGGACATCTCTTTGAGCGCGTGTATTATTGTGATCACGACTCCTATTCTCCTGTCTGGGCACCCAATGGAGCTGCCCTGAGTAGCCTTCAAATCATCGTGAAAGTCGTATTGCCTCATGTTTGCACCATACCTTATCGTGACCGAAAGGCACCGTGCTCAGGGTGGTTTTTGTCCTTAGTCTTCTTGACCCATTTGTTGGGCCCTGAGCATTCCCTACACCTGCATTTGTGATTCATAATTCTAGGCTAGTTGCCTTTGTCTGTCCCATCAGTACTTTTATTTGTGCTCGTAATGTACTGATTCATATCTTCCTAAAGGGCTCTACCCAAAATGGATATTGGTGGTGCTAAGTGAGGATGAATACTTGCTCTATCCGACCGAAGCCATTCTTTGCAGCTGCATCCTAGTCACTTGCTCCCTTCAGAGACGTCCTAAATTTGCCCTTCATTGTGCGCAGATCCTCCTTGCTCACTGCACCCCTTATAACTGTGCTTGATGGCCCCCTTGGACACCAGATGGCAGCCATCCCCCCCTTATCATTAATCAGATTTATCTTAGGATTAGGCTGCCCTCTCCTTGCACACCGCACCCCCTGTCTGAACCAACAGCCCCGCCAAGTCTACCATCCTCTTCTTATCATCTACAACATCACTTGCTTTTCGGAGCCGAATCTATCTTGTTAATTTCCTAGCCCTTTGATATTTGGGCCTGTCACCTTGCTTATGTCTTCATTAGAAGGACTCTCACATACTTATATAAGAGATCAGCCATTTATCCTGCCTTTCATTTAAACTCTCACTTCTCTCTCATGATGCCTTCCACACCATCTGTCACTCCGCCTTGCATTCCTTCAGTACCTGTAGTCCCCATCATGTTGGGGCGTGTTGCACATCCACTCTTTCTGTCTGACTCTGTCACTTCCTCAATCACCATGCTGGCTGCTTCTTTCCTTCCAGTGTACTCCCTTAATTCACCCTGTGAAGGCATTTGGGTGTTTGATGGGTTCATCTCTGCTGATGAGGACATTACCATTGGTGTTGGAGATGCCATTCAAGTTTACCACTGCCACTTCCTTTCATCCTTGTCTCCACCCTTTCCCCCACCAGCCTTTTGTGGTCACATCTCACACATCTCAGGATGGAGTCATACCCACATCGCCTTTACTGTTCAGATTTGTGCTAGTGCTGCTAGCCCTTGTGTCAGCCATAGGCGTACTATTTATGTGCCCACTGCAACAGCCCGACTTTCCTGGTGGCAGTCCTTGTGGGGAACCCTAATTCCTCTCCCCTGTTGCATCACATTGGATCACCGGCCTCCATTTACATTGACTTGGAAGCAGCTGGCTCCTTCTGCCATTGGCGATAAATGGTTGGCTAGACCAAAACCAAGTCGACTTGAATTCTAGTTTTGTTTGATCAACCAGTTAGACACTGGGCAGCATGGTAGCATCCCTTTACTTCAACACTGATCTTGCTTACCTAAAATCGTTCCAGCACGTGTTTTTCCTCCTGCCTTAATAATCAGCCAGCTCAACGCCTTGAGCGGGCATCCAGGCCCTTATTATTCACCCAGCTCCATATCCCATCTAACAGGACCCCATTATATATATATTTCATTTCATCATAGAACTTGATATCTGCTTCGCTCATTCAGCTTAATCATTGTCCCCCCTTGTTTCGAATGTGCTTCTTTCTTATATGCACTGTCTTTCCCACACCTCGCTACTACTATTCCGAACCCGTTACCTCATGTCAGTTATCCACTACCTATCCTCGTTCATCCACTGGCAGCCAACATTCCTGGACTAAGTACCAGCTTAATCATAGTGTCATCACATTCCCCTTTCGAAATCTCTGAGTTGCTGCACCCACGATCTTAGATTTTATCGCCATCATCATCAGGCCTTTTCAGTCCACTATCTGCCCCCCACAGTTGTACATATTTTGATGATCGTATAATGAAGACCCACCAGCGCTTGCGCACCGTTTTCGATTATGTTCCATCGCAGCCTGGTGTAGTGATGGAAAAGTCCGGTTCAGTCCGGTTCTCCAGGAAATTAGGAGAACCGTGGACCGGACCAATGGTTCGGTTCTCCTAGTAAGCAGAACCGTGGACCGGACCATCGGTTTGGTCCAATAATGGTCCGGTTCCAGTTCAGCAGAGGTTCGAACCGAGAACCAGACCCAAAAAAAAATGTCAAAATGTTTAAATGTAGCTAGGTACAAAAGTCCAATAAACTAAACTAGCGCAACATCCTCGTCATCTTTGTCATGTAATGTAGCAATCAATGAATCCAGATGCTGTTCAGCATCGCTAGCGGCCGAGATGTGACCATTACGATAGGCACTCTTCAGCAGCTGTAAACTCTCGAATACATCCTCCTTAAGACAGTTCCATCGTTTTGTTCCTGTAAGCCCCCTGCTTGAGAAAGTGCGCTCCGATGCGGTACTACTACCCTGAATAGCCAGATAGTCTCTGGCCATGCGTGAAAGTGTTGGATATAATGATTGGTGATGCTGCAATAAAATAAGCTAGTTAGATACAAAAGGACTCACAACAAAATAGAAACTTACACCCCACCAACGTACAACGTCTTCAGTTTGCTCGAGGGGACTCTGAAGGTACGCTGTAAGTTTAGCACGAGGCTTAGCCTGCACACGATCAGACACTTGACGGGCTTGCACAGCCACAAGGACCCATGAACGGCCATATTGGCCATGTCCAGCAGGTTCCTGCTCGGTGTTTTCACCTGCAGGTGCTGAGGCGCTGGGGACATAGTATGCATCAAACTATTTAAACGAGTCAGCACATAACTACGTCACCAATAGGCAAACACTTACAACTCGTTCAAAGATTTTGAGGCCAACATCAAATGATTCTTTCTCCCATTGATGTTCAGCGTATGCGAGCTTCACATTAGGATCGAGTGCTGTAAATGCAAGACATTAATATCATAGTAATGAATCAATAAAAGTAAAAACATACCAAGACAAATAGAATATGTGCTAGTGTCCTTAGCTTTGTCGTACCACTTCACAATATTCTTGAGTCCATTTTGAAGAGCATCGTGTACTGGAAAAAATCGAGCATGAGTGGCCATATTTTCCCAGGATTGCTGTAAAAACTCCAGGACCAGAAGGGTGCGCCAAACAGAAGGATCCTGCGAGCTGGAAAAAGTTTGTGTCACACTTGCTGGTTCCTATAAGTACTATCAACACTCAATAATATAAGTAGTACAGTGAAACCAAACCTAAAGGACCTCATGAGCCAATTTCATCTTCTCCCAATCTTTTTTGTTGAGCCAAAAATCAGCATAATATTTTCCTTTGATGTTAGGGACTTCGTCACTATCATCCGCAAGTTTGACGAAAATATTGACACCCTGTGAAGAACAGTGAACCTATGAACTCCTGAACATGAAAGACACTACGCACCTTCTGAAGTAAAAGCATTTGTGTGATAAAACTGTGCATGGAAGCCCATCGGGTTTGCACCGATTGCATGAGCTCGAGGGTGGGGACATCTGCTTGCTTGCATGACTGAGCGAAGAAGGCACGAGCCTGAGATGATGCACAGATCTATGAGACACATTTAGTAGATGATGAGCCTTTGAAAAAAAATGACAAACCTATTTCACAAGCACTAGGGCCTTCCCGATCAAATCACCAATACCAAACTCCACATCATCATCATCGTCATCCTCACACTCTTCGACCCCCTCCAAGCTTGCATCCAACACATCGAAATCTATGACACTGCCATCCAGCTCCGATTTTCTCAATGCCGCTTTGATTTTCTTGAGAAGTTTTTGACTTGAAGTGGGTGAGACAGCCATGAGGAAATGACCAGCAGTGAGATTGATGGTATGTTCCATGCACCTGTCATTGGCAAGTTAGATGGCGCTGAATGACACTGAAAATTGAAATCATACCTAACGTGTCCTTCGACCAGATCCCATCTTTCACCCGCCTCGCTGGCATCATTGATTGTGTTGGCCAATACTGTGAGGCACGTGTTGTTGCTGGCTGCATTATCGCACGTAAACCATCCAATCTGAATATTTCTCAGTACCATGTACATAGTAGACAAGCAAATAGACTCACTTTTTTGCGAAGACCATAGCGGTCAATTGTGCGCACGAGCAGGTTGGCCATATTTGCACCCGAATGCTGTCCTTTGATAGGACTAAAGGCAAGTTGTTCAGTTTTGAGCTTCCAGTCATTGGGATGTTCTGGTGGTGAGTGTATATAATGGCCAGTCACAGAAAGAAATGGATCACCAGGGTCGGAAGTCCAAGCATCGAAAGTAAATGAGACTTTGCCAGGAATGTCCTGTACTACAGGTCAGCACTCAAAGAAGACAGGAAGGCAAAAGATTAAGATCAAAAAAAGACAGGAAGGCAAAAGATTAAGATCAAAAGAAACAAGAAGACAGGAAGGTGAAAGATTAAGATCAAAAGGAGACAGGATGACAGGAAGGCGAAAGATTAAGATCAAAAGGAGACAGGAAGGCAAAAGATTAAGATCAAAGACATACCTTGAGAATTTCTTTCACCCGTACTTCAGTAGCCCTGGCTTTCTTGAGAATTTCCTCGTGAACAGTCTTGCGGTGTGGAATGTCCTTATCGGACAAAGTTGGCCAGACATATGTCAGCAAGCGATGAAAGGGCCCCTTGTCCACCAGTTGGAATGCCTTGTCTTCGCAGACAATCAGCTCAACAATGTAGTCGAGAAGACCGTTAGTACTGAAAACCGGTGCCCGAGGCTGATGGACTATAACACCATCAAGGCTTCCTTGACTAAATCACACAATGAGTAAGTAGTAAGTAGATTACTGAAAAAACTTACCGTTGGAGAGTCCCATCAGACTTTGGACATGCTCGTGCGTTCATAGGGATTTGTAGGTTTTTGCAGTGTGCTTGATAAACAGCAAAGTGATCAGGGTTCCTGCAATACCTCTGTCAGGTACTTAGTCAGTAAAGACACAACACGACACTCACCTAGCGACGTGGGTACGAAGCGTTAACATACCACCTTTGAAGAAGCAATGCTGAGCAGTGACACCATTCTTTCTACAGAACCAAGTCAGATAAAGTATATTGATATGATTGGAAACTCACTCGCAGATAGTGCAAACATGTCCAGACTTGGACAGATGATCCTTCTTGATGAAAATGGTGCGAACGTCTGCGGTACATTCGTTTTTGAGATGAGTGTTGCCTGCCTCACGGTCCGCATCGCCCATAGCTTTAGTTTGTGGATATGAAGCCTCTGCACAGACCGCACCATCCTCTGTGCAATCAGCATTATCCTCCAAGTCAGTTTCAACGGTGTCAGCATCGCCCCCATCCTCACTGGAAGCACTAGAAGCTGGAACGACCTTGCATGCAACTCGCCGTCTGGTCTTTGGACCATCAGCGGCCTTGCGTTTGCTCCGGGCTGAACCTGTTGAGGCAAGATTGTCGGGATCGACCATTTTCGTCGAAGGTAGAGGTTCTCGGGCACTACGTCGAGCACCAGTAAAGAAATGGTGCACTGGAGGAGTAGAACTTGCTGCAATGGGACCAGGGGCACATATAGGCTCCTCGTCGTCCGAGTCATTGTGCCATACGATTTCGGAAGCATCTTTTAGATGGCCGTCAGGACCAACAGCACACTGGTCAGACATGATTGTAGGCGGGAAAATGACAGATTAGCTCACCATGTAAATCACGCGACCCAACTTTAAGCTGCACCTATCAATTGAAAAAAGCTCAGGAAATGTCAATCAGTAAATTAGTTGATAAATTACCTGAACGTCGTTGATTGAAATTTGAGAATCTGAATGAGAGTCCGAAGTGGCGTTGTCAAGGTGCCAGAGTCGCAGATGGTGTTGGTGCCTCCTGGTGTGGTAAAAGGAGAGGCGCCAGAGGGATATCCGAGACTTGCGGAGAGATGATGGATGACACCGACGAGGCAACATCAAGGGCATCAATGAGGATAACGGATGACGAGGCAACATCAAGGTCATTGTTAAGAATAGCCTACCATGTTCTGCCGGTTACAGTAGGTCTGTCAATTATAGAATTAGATCTACACCCTATTATTAATAGTACTACACTAAAAATATGTACTGACTTGCTGCCAGTTCGAACAGGTTTGAACCGATTCAGAACCGGTTCTGGAATTCTGGAAGTCCTCGAACCATGGACCGGACCAATGGTCCGGTTCCCCCTATTTCCCGAACCTTGAACTGGACCCTCGGTCAGGTTTGAAACGGTCCAGGTTCAAACCGCAGTTCAGAACTGGACCCGGCCACCACTAGCCCGGTGCTCATTGGGCGGTGTGTTCATATGGCCAACCTAGCCTCGATTTCTCCTTCCAAAACCCCAAGCATCCACCACTTTTCCGGGCACATCTGCATTCTTTCCTGCCCAGGTTATAGCAGTAACTACAGAGAGTACGATTTCAATTCTCGCGCTCTGCATCGAGTCTCACACCAAGCCAGGGCCCAGCGCCTGCAACATTCAACCTCTCCAATCCACGTGCCGCATAGGCTATATCAGTGCTCGAACGGCAAAGCTGCCTCACTGGTTAGGCTGGCTGGCATTTCTCGCCACAGTTGGTTTTGTCAGCTTGTGGGTGAGCAGCAAGCTTGCCAGTGCCCAATCCGAGCTATCGCTCAGTCCCAGCCCAACTACTGTTTGCCTGACCCTAATGTCGATATGCGAGAGACGAAGCTGGACAGGTTTTCAGTGAGCAAATGACAGCATCAGGAAATGCCTCCGCTACAAATTTAGGCTAAGTATGTCAAACTTTCTTTAATTTACAATAATTTCGATAAATAGACAACTTATGTAAAATATGAATAACGTAGAATAATGCAATGAAAATTTGTGCATGATCATCTGATATTCGCAAAACTATGTCTATCAATGTAACAATTAACAAAGAATGTGTCACATTCTTCGAGAACATTGTTGCTTGTCCAGTGTCGTGGGCCATCAGGAAAATGTCCGGATGCTTAAATTACTCTTAAAGTGCCTTATTTAGCTTATTTACGACTTTGAACAAACTTTTCCGCTGCTTGAAATAAGGCCATTAAGTAGGTCTATCCCCTTAAAATAAGGCCAAATGGCATTCAAGGCGAGTAAGCAGCACAAAAAGAATATATTAAGGTGTTGTAGATAGTCCAACATAAGCCTAAAATAAGGAGATGCATGAGTTTAAGGGAGAGCCTGGAGAGGTATATATTGCGTCCATATCATGTGATAGCTAGGGGAAACGAGCTGGGAAAGCAGGGTATATATGCGAGTCGTATCATGTGATAGCTAGGAAAAACGAACTGGGAAAGCAGGGTATATGCGAGTCGTCTGAGCTACCGATGTTGAATGAATGAATTCTGATAAACAAATATTAGCAGATGAAGAAAAATACAAATAAAATAAAATTACAGATGTGCAGGCGGGCGCGCTTGTTAACAGGAGCGATAGACTGGGAGGAGCCACTCTCGTCCACTACCAAATGACGATTGTGACGCGGGTGTTTCATGTACTCTTCAGCATAAGCAAGAATCTTCTGGATACATGAGTACGGCAATTCCTTGATACTTTCCATGTACGCCTTAGTGTCCGTCTCCCAGTTCCCAGAGGAGAATGCTGTTCCCATGTGACTCATCTTGTTCGTGGCTTCATTGAGTGTTTGCAGAATCTGGTGAGCCTTGCCACCATTGTCGGAGGGGTCGCTATCAATCAGTAAACGACCTTGGACGAGGACAAGAGCATGCTCAGCCTTCAAGATTACTAGTTAACATTCTGCTGACAGAGCAAAAGGAAAGAAAAAATTGAGCACTTACTGCCGTGGCTGCAAGCGCCAATGCAGTCACATATCCAGGCTTCCCAAACTGGACCAATGCATCAACCCTCACTCTCCAGGCTATTGCAGTGATGTGGGAGGCAAAAATGCATAATATATATTCTGATAAAAATGTGCCAGGTTGCTCTTCATTTTCGGGATCTTCATATATGAAGTGGCAGTCCTGGAGTTGATACTCGGCGTATTCCTCGTGGGCTTCCTGGGTCTCATACTTGGGTGTTGAAGCATAAAAGGCCATCAAAACGCTGACAGTGGTTGAACCGAACGCAGCATGCCACTCGTGAATCCTTTGGCACACCTAGGATGTCTGAATTAGCCATATCTAAGTTGAGTAAAAATTGAAAATATAAACCAATTGAAATGGGAAGCTGTTGACAGCAAAATCACAAGGTCCTCAATGTGAATACACTGCATAGAATATATCTTCGAGGACACTCTCGAGCTCGCTCTCTGGGATGGACCATCCATTGTCGTCATTACCCACCCAGTACATCAAAGAGGGAAGGAATGTTGTGCGCCATTGACCTTGTTCAAGGGCTCCGCTGGGTAGGTGTGAGTTCTTCGCTTTACCTTTTTTGATCTTTGCACGGGGGTTTTCTGGGACTGCATCCTCAGTCTTGATTCGTGCGTCGGTGGTCTTGGAGTCCGAGATACTAACTGACATCTATCAGGGTATCAGGTGCTTTTCGGTCATGATCTGTTATAAATTCTTACCAAACTTGTACGCCGCGTCGCGATAACCTCGGCCTTTCGATCTGTGCGTCCATTGTCATCCACCATCATTGCTACATCACCAATATACAGCTCATCCTCGTCTTCAGCAGCCTCTGGGTCCTCAAGAAGCTCAAGTTCTTCAAGGTTGGTGTAGTCTGCTTCTTTTGAGGTTTGAAGTGAATGCTTGTTGCCCCTTGAGGCGTCTCTTGGTCTCTCTACCAAACACACCAAGTCCTGACTTAAGTAAGTACACGTTCCAAACTCAAGGAGATACTAACCTGTCTCCCCTGGGCTGCCGGCAGTTCATAGTACTCTTCGTCATCAAGGTCCACATCAGACAATGCTGCTTGGGGCGTCTTGTAGCTTCGTGGCACAGATAGTGTCTTTTGGGTCTCGGATGCAACTCTACCCGCCCAATCAGGAATGGGGCCTTCAACGAGGCCTAGACTAGCTAGCTGCTTTTGATTGGTACTTATTTTGCATGCACAAATGAAATCAAAGTAATACAAAGTGAGTTCCGTTAAAATCAGCATTGTAGTCAAAAGAAACTTATGAAGATCTGATTTTCCCATCATCAATTGTGCTTCCAACACGTGTGTGACTGTCACTGATGGAGATTGTGACTCCGCCATTGGACACCTTGCAGTTAGCGGCGACACTGTCACAAAAATTCAGCTTCAAGGCTTGATGTTTCCTCTTTACCGGTTGGTCAGTCTGATCATCTTCAGTAGCCTGCTCTGACTGAGCTGCTTTACAAGCATCAATAGTTAACTATCAGGTGAGTCATTCAAGCGCTGGACTAGTACTCACCTGTGACAGCCATATTTTCTAGATTTGTACTGTTCTTACTGCTGACGACCATGCGAGGCTTTGGCCGAACAAGCCTTGGAGGACCCATCACTTGAGCATTCTGCTGGACGGCCATAGCATCTTCTACTGCTGCAATTGCGGTGCATGACTTTCATTCTGCTTCTGCATGAACGTCCTTCTTAGCTTGTTTTCATTGTTTTTCAGCAGCTACTTCCTCTTTGATCGTTGCTGCGCTTTGTTTGCATCCCGAACAATCTGTCCAGGATGCTTTTTTGCATTAGAAGGACATGTTTGTGGACAAGACATCAGGAAACTTCAAATGAGTGACCAAGAAAAAAAATGAATGACGGGCGAAAAACGACAGACTACGATGTTGAACTTGGTTAGTCAAACATGGTTCGGGTGAGGGTTACTCTCCTCGCTTTCAAATTAAACTCACCCGAAACTAATAAGTTCACACAGTCCGAATCACATCGTTCACATCAAATCCTCATTTAATTTACAATTCTTAGTGCTGCAGCGAAGCAAATATGCGTCCACTTCCTTGTCTCATACCTGGCTGCAAGTGTTTGTTTTGAAATAAGTCGGGTCAAACAAAACACATGCACACTGTGCATCCGAGGCTTTTGTGCAGTCATAGGACATTTCATCAAGCAGCTCCTGCACCGTGTTCTCCAAGTCCTGAGCATCCCATATTCAACAATCAACCCTCAAGTCCTGTGTGTCACAACTTCAATGATGTGCATCTTCCAGATGAGAATAGAGTGGGAGAAGGTTTTATGCTGGAAGCAGATACTTGCGTACAGTTGGGTCCTCTATTTCGAACATTTCATCCTCATCTCACAGGTAAAAATGTGTACCATGCGCTCATTCTGATCTAACTTGTTGGTAGGACTCAAATGTGACATCAATGGTGATTTCATCAACCAGAACGCACCCCCAACACCCCGAACCGAAGCATTACCCACCAACTGGACCCCATATGAAAGTCGTGTTGCATTTGAGACAGCTGAATTCCTCTTTGCATGCAATCAAATGTCCGCAGGGCAGATTGATACCCTTCTTGGCCTCTGGGCAGCAACACTCGTCAAACATGAAGATTTCCCTCCATTTGCCACCCACCACGGCTTATACAATACCATCGACTCAACTCCACTTGGTGACATCGCTTGGGAGAGTTTTTCGATGTCGCATAAGGGAGTCAAGCCAGCGGACAATATTCCGCCATGGATGAAGGCTACATACGAAGTATGGTTCCATGATCCATGCCTTCTTGTCCACAACATGCTCGCCAATCATGATTTTGATGGCAAGATAGAATATACCCCATACTGAGACTATAATGACAATGATCAACATTGTTTCAAAAACTTTTTCTCGGGTGATTGGGCTTGGACGCAAGCAGTACGTTTATACCTTCCTCTCTTTCTTCAAGCTAACGATGCATCACAATATAGGACAAAATTGCCAAAGATCCAGAGATGCACAAATCGACCTTTGTGCCTCTGATTGTCGGAAGCAACAAGACTACAGTATTGGTGGCTACAGGACATACCGAGTACCATCCGCTCTATCTCTCCATCAGAAACATATTCAACAATGTTCGACGTGCACACCGTAACAGTATGGTATTGGTAGGGTTTTTGGCTATTCCAACAAGTGAGTTAACATATCATTCATTGTTTCAATCACTCATTTGTCATAGCCACAAAAGAACATGCAGACGACGACGACTTTCGTAACTTCCACCGGCAATTATTTCACTCCTCGCTCGCAAATATATTCAAGTCCTTGAAGAAATACATGACGACCCCCGATGTCGTACGCTGTCCTGACGGGCATTATTGACGAGTCATATATGGGTTAGGACTGTATATAGCCAATTATCCAGAACAAGTCTTACTTTGGGTATCGTTACAGGGTGGTGTCCGAAGTACGTGCCTTCTAATGTCTTTTATCGACTTATGACTGACATTGTTTAAGGTGTTTAAATAATTGCAACAATCTTGATGGCAATGGATTACTCTGGTGCAGAGAGCACACTGACTTACTGGTTCAAGAACTCCAGTACAGACAGTTGTGGTACGAGTACAGTGTTGTTGAAGACGTTATGGTATGTTTTCATTCGTTTTCAGTCATGTTGATTTCTCATTTGTTTTTAAGCTGTTCACGAATGATTTTGCTCGTGCAGATATACACGAGCTTCTTTCCCCCAACATCCTACACCAAATCATCAAAGGGACCTTTAAGGATCACCTTGTTGATTGGGTGGGAGAATACTTAGAGCATGTGCATGGTCGTTCGTGCGCAGCAGAGATTCAGGATGATATTGATCGAAGGTAAGTGACTTTTTGTTTTAATTTTCAAGTGTTCTGAATATTAGTGCTTACAATCCTTTAACAGGATAGCTGCAGTCGCCCCTTTTGCAGGTCTGCGGCGTTTTCCAGAAGGGCGTGGATTTGCCCAGTGGACTGGTGATGATTCCAAAGCTCTGATGAAGGTATATTGCCATTTTTTTTAAATGTGTGAGCTAACACTATTAATACTAGGTCTATCTACCTGCCATCAAGGGCCATGTCCCTCAGGATATCATACACGCATTCAGCGCCTTCCTTGACTTCTGCTATATCATCCGACGTGAGGCACTGACAGAGGATGATCTTGTACAGCTTGAAGATGCCCTCCACCGCTTCCACCAGTATCATGAGGTGTTCAGGACAACAGGAGTTAGACTCACCTTCTTGCTTCCACGTCAACACTCTTTACAGCATTACTCTCGTACGATCCGGCTCTTTGGAGCCCCCAACGGTCTTTGCTCGTCCATAACGGAGTCAAAGTACATCAAGGCTGTCAAAGAGCCCTGGCGCCGTTCTAGCTGCTACAAGGCGCTAGGCCAAATGCTACTGACAAACCAACGTCTTGACAAAATTGCTGCTGCACAGAGCGACTTTGAGGCTCGTAATATGCTCCATGGATCATGTGTATCTGATGCTTTACAAGCACTCAAAAACCATATGTCTTTAGAAATTCTATTGAAGTCTTCCAATATAGTAGTATACAGGTCATCCTCAGTCTCTCAGTGACAACAACGACGTGTTCGCAGTTGCAAACACACCTCAAGAGCTTAATCGTTTATGTGTCAATGAACCACAACACCAGACCATCGAGGGAGAAGCAGCTGAGGCTATTGAGGGACCTGCTGCCGATGCTCATGTAGAGCTCGCTGCAAAACCAGGTAAGCCTTCTGTCTTCATGTCAAACACATTGAGTTTGCTGAACTTTCGTAGTATTAGGCGGTCCACATGATATCCCTGCACTTGCACTCGAACTAGGGCTTCCAAGCTTGCCTACCATGATCCAACGATTCCTTCACAACCAGCTTCACATTGCGGACCCTGAGCCTCCCACATTCAATCCTGCTACAGCACCAACATTTCTGGGCCGTATTTCGGTTTTTAGCTCAGCGGCTGCATCATTCTATGCCCCCAGTGACCTCAGCAGGACTGGAGGCATGCGACACGAGCATATTTGTGCGACGACCTCATGGCGAGGTGGCCCTGCTCGGAATGGTTGTGTCTTCATTAGTATAAATAATGAGGTCAGTTGTGTCTTGGATGGACTTGTTGTCGCAAGATTATTGCGTCTTTTTAGCTTCAAGTACCGGACAGAGTACTTGCAATGTGCCATCATTTTGTGGTTCTCATATATCACTGACAGTCGAGATCCTGACACCGGGATGTACATTGTTGCACCATCGACCAATGATGATGGCACGCCAGACATCTCGATTATCCATATCGATTGTATATTCCGCGCAGCCCATCTGGTTCCTCTCTACGGCGCTAATTTCCTGCCTCGTGAAATCACCCTTCACAACAGCTATAACATGTTTTATGCATTCTATGTCAACAAGTACGCCGACCACCATGCATTCGAAGTAGCATGAAAGGTAGGTCTGTCGCCATCTTTTGTCCTCCTCACAATTTGATTATTTACCAGGACTATCTATACCCTGCAGCATCATTACCTGGCCTTGCCCACCCAATCCATTGTGTACGCACTTCACCAGACAAAGCTCCATTCTTCTGTAACTCCTCCTGGTCCCCATCTCACTGCATACGCACTTCACTGGACAAAGCTCCATTCTTCTGTAACACCTCCTGGTCCCCATCTCACCATGTATGCACTTCACCGGACAAAGCTCCATTCTTCTGTAATTCCTTGTGGTCCCCATCTCACCGTGTACGCACTTCACCGGACAAAGCTCCATTCTTCTGTAACACCTCCTGGTCCCCATTTCACCGTGTATGCACTTCACCAGACAAAGCTCCATTCTTCTGTAATTCCTCATGGTCCCCATTTCATTGTGTATGCACTTCACTGGACAAGGTCTCATTCTACTATAACTATTCATCATCTAACTCAAACAATGTGTTCCGTCTCGATTCCCCCTTCCGCTCAACGATTCCTGCGCCATATCCACCTCATCATCTTCCAGACCCTGAGCGAACCCTCCATCCCTTCTACTCTGGCCTCGACTTCTTCTGCTCTGGCCTCGACTTCTTCTGCAATCACTGCAGCCCTGATCACTGCCTCTGCCTGAACCATGGTATCTCCCCACTGACGCCTCCTCCCTTGACTGCCGTGAACGGTTTTCGAAGCCATATGCTGTACTGGCGTCCCGTCAATTGACCATTGATGTCACGAGCAGTAAAATGTACCTTATGTTTGTTTTTGTTGGAATATATAGCGGCTGATTTTTGGATGATTGTTGTGTGCATTGCGCGCTTAATCTTTGAGTATGAGCTATAAATATATGTAAATAAACTATTAAAATTTTGTCGCATCTTTGCTGCCTTGACTGCCTTAGACCTGCCCCAGTCCTTAGAAATGTATAATAATAATCACTTATGTTCCTTAGATGCCTTAACAACATTTTTAAGTAGTTTAAGACATGAAAAGCATCCGAACGTTTTCCTGATGGGTGCAATGGCTCCAAACTTTGGCATGAGATGGACACTGCAGGTGATATTTGAAACTGGGATGATACTTGCGACTTTCTGACCAGACTTGATTAACTGACTGATTTTGTACATGCTGTGCCTTGGATCCAGCGCTGCAGGAAAGGGGGTAAACCACTCCACATATGCAAGATGCTTTGGGGGTTGGTTTTCCAGATTAAACAAAAACTGTGTTGCCGATGCTGGAATTAAAAAAACAATATGAATTTGACCAACATGGAAGCCTGCAATAACATTATTATCCAAGCCTTGATGACATGAGCCTCCAAGTCATACCTTTGACCCCAGCAGAACTACCAGTACTGTCGTTGATAAGTGCAGTATCAAAGTGTGCTGGTACCACGTCATTTTCTCATAGGGCATTGCAATGGGGTCTAGCATGTATGCTATCCACTGTGACAAGCGGATCTCTGTGTCCTTGAGCGTCAGTTGACAACCACTTTATCTTGTGGTATACAGGAACAGCGTGGAAAGGCAGATGAATACCTGCAGCAAGGTTTTCCAGGCGCTGATGATTGATCGCCTCATTCGGATTCTGATGTTGTGCAATGTAACAAGCGAGGGCCTGTCGAAAGTAGGTTGCACCATAGTCGGTGATCAGTTTTTGAATGGGGACAGCTTTAATGCTCAGATGCTTTGTTAATTGCTGAGGGCGATCAAAGCCTAAGTCAGGTGGACGTGGATGATGATGAGGAGCACAATCCCCATCAAGATGCCATTTTATGAACTGCTCATGGTGAACAATCCTTTCCTTCCGCTCTAACCACTTCGTCATCTGTGTGAATTCGTCCTTATGATTGGTTGCACAGTAAGCATCCTTGGCAAGATCAATATGTAGCCATTCTGTATACTCCGTATTATAATTATCTGTTGTTCCAAAAATTCAAATCATAGTCAAATAGTGGCATGCTGAATGGAGCTTCAGGAGGTTAAAGTTGTTTCGGATGCCAAGGTCAACAAATATGTCCTTGTTGTCATGAAAGAGTGTACGGGCTTCATCCAGTAAAATTAGTGTCTCGGAGCTATGAGATGGGTACTGTGCGAGGTAAAGGAAGTCGAGAAGACCATGTACGGCCTTTAGGAGGCGAGATGAAGCAAGGTTTCCAGGAAGTCGGATGTCAACAATGATACCGAGCAGGAATTGGCATATTTGGCTATGCTCTGTACTGCTGAGGCATGAGAGGCCGGCGATACCCTTCATAAACAATCAAATATGATGATTGGGAGGTAAGTGATGACATCGTGCATCAATTTCTGCTGTGCCATATGCTTGTGTGAGCCATCCAAGCAGATGTTTGATGAGACCTTGATATAACTGATGTAAGATGTCAGGTGTTATTGCCTGGAAAATGTTTGCATGAGGGAGGTCCTCCCAGAAGGGGTAAACAATGGGTTTGATTCTGGCTTCATGACATGCCTGCATGAATACCAGGTCACCATCGTCAAACCTTGCAAGAGCATCCAAAACGGCATGAAGGTCGCATATGTCAAATGGTGCAGTGTTACTCCCGAGTTCCTCAGTAGGAATGTCGCATTTCAGGCATTCCATTGTTTTCACTCCAGTAGCAAGTAATTGCTCGGGATAGTCACCAGAAAAGCATGCAAACAAAGGATGACAATGACGTTGTACACCATCACCACTACTCATCTGCAGCCCATCAATACCAGCAGTCTTAAGCGGAGCCAGTATGCGACTCATACATGCATGGTAGAGGTTTGCGATAGTGCAGCATCTCGAAGCTTTGTTTGTGATATGTTCAAGGCGGGTAGTGGGCAAATATGCCAAGAGGATATGAGCATGACGGGATGGCTTTCAGCGGACTTCTTTAGGAATGTTGCTGATGGTGAGATAGACAGGATAGGCACTTTTATTCCTAAACATCATCACCTGAGTTTTGTCGCTTGATATAATAATGGGGATGATTGTGGCGCCTGGACGTCGTTGATCAAGTGCTTTCTAAAAAGTATCTTATCAATAAAATAGGCAGATAATGATTTATGATAGTTGCTTACTTGTGTGTCCCACCACCACTGTCCAGTGTGCATGTCATGAAACAGCTGTACGGTTTGATCTTCATCAGCATAGTGATGCTCTGGTACAAATACAAGAAAATCAGCGAAGTCAGGGTTGCCATACAACACTTTGATGCATTCAATGATGTCTCTGTAGAAGACATCAAATGCTTCACCTGTGACAATAATTTGTTTGTGCTTGAACTTCGGTCATCCAGGAAGGTCTTTGTTGATGATATTGTCGAGCTCTTTTGAATTCTTGTATGAAAGACCAAGATGATCACTGAGCTACACACATGGATATCAGTCAACAATGTGTACTTAATAACTGAGCTTACCCCATCAATTCCAAGCAAGTCGGTAAATGCTGTCGAGCTAGGACCATGTAGCTTTACCCATTTAGCGATATCCCAGTCTATTCTAGAGGGAAATGGAGCATAAATGTTCGCAGTGCTGCTAGCATTAAGTCCATATGTGGTATTTGCACAGCGAATAGGACATCCAGTTATTGGTTTGCCTGCACGTGCGTTGGGATATGGTACAATAACAATGTTATCTTGCCCTGCAATGCATTCTTTGATCTGCTGATGAGCTTCAATGTTATCTATCTCCTCAGGAGCCTGATCATCTTCATCTGCAGGAGGCTCCCATTCATTTCCATCCTGCCAGTGTATGGGAGGTTCCCACTCTCCTGAGTCATACAAACCTTCCTCTTCATCGCTGGAATCACTTGTGTCATCACCTGACCCCTCTATATCATCTTCTCCATTAGTGCCAAAAAGTCGCCCTCAAACATCATAGGTTGATCCTCTGTGGGAGCCAGTGAAGGTGACCATGGAGTCGGACTCCTTGGCCAAGAGTTGGCAGTACAATAAGCCACAAGAACAGCCATGCAAGATGCCTGTCTAGTCTTGACTAGATACTGACTATAGCCTGTTGCTGAGAATGATTCTTGACATCCAGTACAACTAACCATTTTGTTTGTATTCAAATCTATCATGAAATGGGCACCATTCTTCTGGTGCAATGGAGCCCTTTCAGACTCCGCCGACATCATCAAATATCCCAACACAACGGTTGTCACATAATAAACTCCAAATGGGTACACTAGTAGTAAAGGCATACTCCCTCTGTGTATTAGAATCATCATAATGATAGTCTCTGAGAGTTCATTCCCTCCCCCTACTCAAGCAAGCAGCCCACCCTCGGGCCCTCCTCAACCTTCTAGCCCTTCCCCTGCCTCTCAGAGTTCTGAAACTCATTAATTCTAGCCCGAGGTACTCTCCGAGCATTATGAAAGTATCCGTAAGTGCCTTGACTTTGCAGTTTTATCATCTGTCTTAGAGCATACACAGGCTGAGCTTCCTGTTTCAAAGGATACCTCAATTTTGAGTCCTGACTTATCTACAAGTACCGCTTGTCAGCAGTCCGTGGACAATAGAATGTCCAGGAAGTATTTGCCATATACTCCTGATCCATCTCCTCTGGAGGTGCGTTATGCGAGCCAATTCATGGGTCGGGGATATCAACCGGATTTCTCCCCCGAAGCAATCAATAATGTATGTCATGTCTGTTGCCACATATCCTTGTTTTGTGCTAAAAATGCTTTCAAAAAGTTTGAAGAACAGCTGGGGAACAGTCTTTTGCGCATGAAAAATACAACTCTGTACAAAGGATACAAGGTGAAACTCTTGGCCCGCGAGGTTGCACGCCAACATCTGTTTCTTGTGACTTTGGAAGCCGAAGAAGCCAGTCTTACTGCGATCTACGCTGATGCCATCTGTGCTGAAAACCAAGAACACTTTGGATTTGCAGAGGAGGAGTTGCAGTGCTACAGGGGTCATTTTCTAAGTGTGGCCGCCTAGAAGCTGACAAGGATAGAGACTATTTTCAAGCTGTTTACGAAGATGAGTGCGAAATTCTTCGCACCATCAGCATCCAGACCAACCAAGTTGCAAAAATCTTGGATAAACACATTGTACAATCTCTCAAGAACTCTACAACATTCTCTCCCCTGCATTGCCGCTTCCGCAATGGGGTTCACATCACTGCACCCTTCGCCCATGAAGACTCTGATGTTACATCTGATGGATCAGATGACATGAAGGATGAACTTAGGTTGTCAGATCTTGGCTCTGATGAATGAGGCTCAGGAGATTCATAGTACATGAAATCCTCATTTCTCATATGATTGATGCTCTGACTAAGCTATTTAGTTTTTCATCATATTTCTTGTGCCCACTTTTGGACATCTCCCATTTGCTGCTCTTCAATTTATTTCTGCCTCATGTTTTCTTTCCCCCAATTTTGAACTTCTCTGGTTCTGGGCTTCTCAAATTCTCATATGAGTCATGGTCACTGCAGTGTTCAAAAGTGATCATTTCTTGTGATCTTACGATGATCTCACCCTTACATTTTGATAACGATTATGTATGTTGTATGTTGTATTCTGGTTGTATTAAATTTTATGCAATTTGTACTGCCCCTAGCCCATGCTTGATGTAATGGACTTCTCAATCAGTGTGTGAAAATTCTCAAACCAAACATTACCCCACTGATTTGTCGGGTTCAGTATGTCCCAGTGACTAGGCTCAATCCAATCGGCATTTGTGAATTTACATGTGTTTGTAGGTATAAGCACACATTAAATCAAAGTGCTCATGATGCATGCCCTCCTCCCTTCCTGACCACCACCAGCACCCACCGACTACGAGTCTCCCTCCACAACATGCAGTCAAATGATGGATTCCATTCCCTCGATGACACACCTGACATCGACCTGAACCAGGGCAGCTATCAACTTCCTGCTTCGTATCATGACCCATTTTATTTCATCAACCAACCTCAAGCTAGTTCATCATCACTTAGGGACCCTGCAATTTTTGGCAGTGTCTCTGGAGATCATGACACAATCAATTTCGATGGACTCACATTCAGTGATGAGTATTATTAGGACTATGTAATCTAAATCACTGATATTGTACTTCAAGCGTTTCTTGACGAGTCTGCAGCTAATACCAGCAGGATGCTAGCAAGTCACGCTAGCACCACTGTCCCTAGGCTAATCCCTCGGTCCGCAGAGATTGATGTGCTCTACCCATTGCCACATCCCCGGGTATTGCAAGGGACTGTCGAGAGGACACAGCATTCTCATCACACCTCGGCACCATATCCTCTGCCAATTGTCACTCCCATCGTCCCTGTTGCCCCCATCATCCATCAGCAAAACAGCCATGTACTAGACAACCCTGGACAGTGCTAGACAGGGCCACAGAGCCCACAGAGAGGATTCTCTCTGCATAACTCTATACAGAGTACATAAGTAGCCTGTACAATTCTGTACAGAGTTGTACAGAATATATGGGAGCTTATACAGAGTGGGATAGAGTGCACATTAAGCTAGACAGCATGTTACAGAGGCAAAACAGAAAGACTACAGAGGCAAGACAAAAAGGCCACAGAAAGGCCACAGAGCAAGGCAGACAAGACTCAAATCCAATATTAGCACAACCAACAAATCATCATTATGCCATGTATCCTAAAACAAATTGTGCCTAGTTGAGCTTCAACTTCAGACCCCAATTATGACGCCGGTTTGATTGATTACATGTGAGAGTACTGTTAATGGGTGTCAAGTAAACTGATATATCAATAATAAAAATATATACCCTGCAGCACGCGCCCATTTCTTACAAACTGCTCGACATTTCTTCGAATGATAAGGGTCAAGCTTGACATCATCATAGAGTTGCATGACACTGTCGTAAATGGGCTGATACAACTCAGAGACAAATTTCATTGGTTTGTAGATACCGGTCTTGTACTCATCAATGGCTGCAGCGAGCTGGCAATAATGAGCACGCAGTGGTATGACGAGAACAATGGAATATACTGTGGTTGCTCCAAGTGCGACAGCGCCTTCGGGGACGGCTTCAGCAAATTCATCCAGAAAAGACTTAGTGAGCGCATGTTCGCTCATGTAGAAAAATGTACTGCAGAACTCTCCGAGTGCACCATTCGCGAGGTTGTTGGTCCTTCCCTGATAGAAAAGATTAGTAGATGTAATGGTATCTTGTGTAAATGTACCTGCTTGTCAACACCATTATGAAGAAAATTACCACCATCCAATAAGTCTTGCACTTGACTACACACATATTCTCCGTACTTGTTGTCGTCATAAACATCTGTAGGAAGGATGTCATACTTGGCAGCTGCTATGGGGCGTGTGACCTTTTTCATTTCAGATTGCATGGTAGCACGATCATCCCATAACTAGCAAATAATGTTTAGTACCAATAGAAACAGGCTGAGCAAATGTATGATGATTGCCATATCACATTTGTGTTTGTCACACATCAGGAAATTAACCCGAAGTTGATATGACCAGATATAATTGGTCACCAAATAACATTATTACATGTTATGTTTTAGCCTTATATATTATTATCATGGTGTTGCACATATCTGACACATGATATGACTATGTCAGACAAATATCACCTTGATGTGTGTCTTGGAAGCAGCCAACAGTATGATACTAGCATCATATATTATTATCATAGTGTTGCACATATCTGACACATGATATGACTATGTCAGACAAATATCACCTTGATGTGTGTCTTGGATGCAGCCAACAGTATGATACTAGCATCATATATTATTATCACAGTGTTGCACATATCTGACACATGATATGACTATGTCAGACAAATATCACCTTGATATGTGTCTTGGAAGCAGTCAACATTGTGACACTGTCATTTTTTAGCATTGCATATTAGTATCTCATTGTCACATCTCCAGTAGACTTGTGATGTGTTGTGACACTTTTTAAATAGTGGGTATATCTTACCTGGATTGTGTAGAAACTTTCCATCTGCTTGCATTTAGTACCTGTCTAGCCATCACCAATATGGGCAGCATCTACAAAGAAGTTGATAAGCACAGATGACTTGAGACTAAATTTTCCAATGGACCAATACTAAGGCAGCATCAGGAAAAAGGTCAGCCATGATTTGCACACTGCAAAACTATATAGCACTATGTAGGCTACATAGCACAACAGAGCATCCTCGTATCATATATAGCACTACATACAGTACTGTAGCACACTTGGATGCTAATACTAGCTATGCAATATCATCACGTTTATAATAGACGCGCTATATAACTAACAAGCAGTCCGTGTTTTCTACAAGCGCTCAAAGGTGTCAGTTTTCGGCGTATCTGAGTTTGCAGGTTGTGACGGACAAACTCTTCGAGAGTGGGAATGAAAAGGGAAGCACCGTGCTCATCAATCAACCACTGAATTGTCGAGTTTGGGAATGGGATCATCCGGGGCACAAAATATCCACGAGAAGCCGTCAACATAACGGAGCAGCTATACAATAGTTGACTAATATACAGTGTTGAGAAAGTGGAAGTAGAACCTCTTCAAAGATGTCCGAAAACACGGTCTCAGCATCAGGTCTCGGCCCTTGAGCCGGTGCTGTACCCGCACCTCCAAACATGCTGGCAAATTGCATGAAGAAACTCGAAGACGCCTTGGGGTGACTGCTTTTATCCCCAGCCTGCTTCGAGGAGTATAGTACATCATATTCTTTCTGTCGCGCTGGATCCAATAGAACATAGTAGGCATCGGCTACGGCCTGCTTGATAGGTTAACATGGTTTCTGAAAAACTCACCTTCGCGTCCGCCTTTCCAAGAATACCATATCTGCATCATCCTCCATGTAAATAATATTCTAGGGTGACACATGAATGTGGTGGGAATAGATTTAAACACATGATAGCACGTACATTACAGGTCCCACTAGGACTGCCACTTTCGCTAGCAGTGAGTCATGCCACACTGTAGTCTGGATACGACGTGCACCAAGAAACAGGCTGCCCACGAGAATGGTTGAGGATATCCATGCCAGGAAGCATGAATGGATAACTCGAGGTGGTCTGCAGCGTAGGATATTGAGATAGAAGCGTGGACGGAAATGCATGGGTTGAAAGATACGTCGATGCTTTTAGATATTTGTCCCTGATTTGGTTTGAGAGGCGTACGCGGAGAAAACAAGCACGGAAGATGCATACCAAGTGTATCTTTCAGCCCAATCCGGATTAACGGCGTGCATAAAGGTTCGACGTAACAGTGATCACAGGAGTGACAGGCGCCCACACGATGATGTACTGACAAAAACGTAAACTTGCGAATCACGATATTGCAGAAAAGAAATCACCTTCAGCTCTCGTCTCGGTCCACTTCGGAAAGAATCCCCGATCAAAAATCGTAGTGCCTCTGGAGTGTCAACTACCTGGCTAGTGTTTGACCGCACCAGATTTTGCACCTCAGCGTGAGCTGCTGGACTTTTGAAATGTTTGGTTAGATGGACCGCTATGGCTGGGTCTACCTCCCACACTGTTCGGACTATTCCAGGCCAAGCCGACTATCAAAATACATGAATTGCCATTCACAGAGCCATCAAGGTACTTACCTCAAGCATATTGCACTCGAGCAGGCCATGAAGGTCACTGCCACATTTCGCTTCGTTGCTAGGATTAGCCCAGACCGTAAGCCTGAATATCTCATTCTGAATCAGAAGACGGAGTGGCTAATGTTGAAACAGTTTGTAACCTTGAGAAAGTCTGCCACCCATTAGAACTACCATCTCGTGGGTTAATTTGAAGGAGCTAGGTTCAAACTTGACTCCCTGCAAAGCATAGTCAGAGAACTGTTCAAGGTATCGCGATGAAGACTTACTCCAGGACGTAGATAGACCGCAAGAACGAAGTCAGTAATCATATCAATCAATGGTTGTCAAATGAAAAACTCATCTATATCGAATAGGAATCCAAAGTCTGAGATCAAGTTTAATGATGCTTGCTGTACTCTTAGACAGGTAAAACTCACCGATATGTACTATATGCCCTTCGCCATCAATCATGATATTCCCATTGTGACGGTCCTTGATCTGCAGGATAGAGCAAGCAACCGAATATGCAGCCATAGACTGGATGAAATTGAGGTGAGCACGCTGGAATGCAACAGTCTCTTCTCCTCCGTATTTCGAAATGAAGAAGTCAAGCAGGTCGTTTACTGTGGCCCTTCCCATCTCATCTCGAGATGTGGCATTTGGCACCACGTCAATGACACCGCACTATGATATGCATGAGCGTGATCTAGCGTGAATAAAAAAGAAATAATACTCACTCCAGCAGCAGTTGCGGTAACTCTGTAAGGGAAGAGATAGAGGGTCAACCCGATACTGGTGAAGATGTTTTTGAACATCGCGATGATCTGCAAAGCCAACACATCTTGTCGGCAGTCGTCGCCAACTTTGAAGATAGCCTGTTGCCAAACATCATACTCCTCGCGTTTCTCGAGTCCACCGTCCAAGAGAGATTCTGGGTTAGAATCAATGATGACACACTCCTTCCTCACTTTAAAAGTAGCCATGAACGGTGCCTTGGGTGAAATTGTATCGAGTACAAATATGGGCGAAAGATGATCCACACACCTTAGCGTGACTTTGAAGCGGTCGACCAGACTTCTTATCAATGTCGATAACACTACCGTCTGGGTTACTGGGAAGGTAGACTCCAACATCAACGACTATCTTGGCCATCTCTTCGTCAATCTTTGCCTGTAGAGACACGTCAAACCTCGAGCTCAGATGGCGTGAATTGAAGGGGCGTTAAGAGTGCGTCCGGAGGTGGAAGGCTTTTTAAGTAGGGAAGATGTCGAAGGACGTCAGGAATTTGACTGTAATGTATTATGATTATCAGATATGCATGTAGACAGACAGTATTAGTTCAACACACCTTGAATCGGGAAAGATCCAGTGTATACATAAGTAAGTGCAAATAAGCTACCTTTCTGACCACGACTGCAGGTCAACGAGAGTCGATTCGCCAAATAGGGCCGTCAGAGCACGCAGAGAGCACTCCACATCGACATAGAGAGAGCATTCCGAGCGTGAACTGGAGTGTCGTCCGCCGCTCACAGAGTCGGATCTCTGCCAGACGTGTTTGTCGTCGTGCAACATCTGCTGCAAGTGTAGAGAGAACTTCCTCATAGTTCTCTGACCCACCCTAGTGAAAGAATTAGCGCAAAAAAGGGCGTTGATTCCATGCCCTCCATAAGAGTACGTTGCAGAGATACAATCGAGTCCATATCCGCGTTGACAGGTGGCGATGGCATGCGTGTCCTTGTTAGTTCTTCGAACTTGTATCGAGTCAGAAATGAAGAATGCACACCTTGTATAATTTTGTTCTTGCTTTCATTATGTCAAATTCCGCTTGGGTCTAAAGGGACAAACAAATGGAGGATGCATCCTGTGGAAGAAAGATTCAGTGATAGTTGAACATTGAGGGCGTAAGCCTCCCGACTGGGCCCGAGTCACGGTGTTGGTTTGGGATTCTCACGTACATTTGTTTGTTTCTGAAGGTCTTGCCAAACAACGCTTTGATTATGTAATAAGATCCAATGGTTGCACAAGTCTCAAGTTTTTGCATTCAGAGGTGAGGGCTACATTTTAATCAAGCCAACATTCATTGGTGTCACATAGTAAATCTAAAAATGATCAATATTTGAGACTACATGATAATAAGTATTGCACGGTGAAGGTTTCACTTTGGTGTTTTTTCAGAAGGGGATTGGGAGGATGTGTCGACGAGGTAGAATATCTGGGTTTCAGAGTGTTAGTTTGCGGTGGGGAAAATTGAGAGAATCTAAGGATCAATAGCAACGAGAAAGGCGAACGAACGACAGAACACCGAAACACAACTGAATGAAATGCAAGACTTACCCGTCCAGAATACTTAGCGCACACAACCCTCCTACAAAGCCTACAATGATGCCATCTTCTTCACGTCCCTTCACCACCACTAGCTTTCCCTTCTCCCCCACCACTCCCACCTTCCTGTGCACTTCCCTCGCGGCCCTCACCCAATCCTTTTTTGCCTGTGCCCTTCCCCTTTTGATCTTGACTCATGCTCCTCCCCCACTCAAACGAGGAAAACGACGGCAAAGAGACAGTCGCAGACATCGATAGAGGCACTGTAGACCTTACGGACTCAAACGGGCATGCACACCGCATACACATCTGTCTTTGCGTCTGGGATGACCCAGATCGGGGTGGGAAGGGCAAGGGTATGCGTTGAGGTTGGGCGGAGGGAGGGAAGCCTTCTATGTGATTTGGAGCTATGCCGCTTGTAGTTAGTAGTAGCCTCCGCGGCGAGCGAACCAGACAGTACGTACTTCAAAATGATGGGTATGATTCTGTGGTGACACTGAAACAGAGGTAGTAGCTGAGGGACAAAAGTAAATATATGATCAGATAAGTAGAGTCGTTCATGCTTTTCGTTCGAACCTCATGACATTTGTAATACATGACTATTAACTTTGATCTTGAAACTTACTTCGTACTAGTATTTCGTACTACTACATCACCGTCAGGAATATGAATTCAGATAATGTAAGTCCTACTTAGCATATAGACTATTTGTGATCGCTGATATTCCGTAGCTTCCAAATGTTGGCGAAGTAGCTGTCAGCAATGAGAACGCGAATGGCGATCATCAGAATGTAAGTCGTACTACGTACCGTATGGGTGGTGAGTGTTCGGGCTCATCTTGATGTGATAGCAGGAGAACGGGGAGAACATCGTACGCAGTGGAAGCACTTTTGATGTATGGGAGGACTGATGACATCCGAGACAGGTACAGCAACCAAACTACGAACAAGAACCATCTTTTACGCTGACAATGTCAGCGATGGTGAGTGTGGGGTGGTCAAGGGTCGATTATTGACTGAGATACGTCTTAGGAATGGTGGAACTATGCCATCGCAACGGCGCAAGACAATCAGGAACATAATCAGGTCAATCCGCATGAACTGCCCTTGCTCCATCTCCCTGTCCCTAGTATGTCGCGTTGCGACAGGTGCTTGCTCACCCTCATGATTGAGGAAAGGCGTGATATTTTAATGTGGCTATGGCAGGAGATGAAGGACATGGAACGTGTGCTCAGGTTAGAAAATATGTGAGAGATGGTTGTTCTGGTTCGAATTTGTGTCGCGAATGTACTGGTCGATATAAGTACACGTAGCTGTTCTGTTGGAGATAGATTGAATACATCATGATCGTTTGATATGGTTACTTACTCTGAAGGAACATAACTTCGTAAGAGAATTATTTCATAGATAGTCTACTTCTACATACTGTAAGAACGGAGCGATTTCCAATTGGTGTCAATGCCATGTTGCAAAGAATTGAAGTATATTGTATCATGCATACCATGATGATTCGGAAGAATACGTGCAACAGACCGAAATAGCCGCCAGCTCTTGTTTGATTTGGGTCATGGTGAGTCGCAAGAACGGTGCTGGGCTCCAACTCCTATCAAGCAGTTTCCAGAAGTGGTCCACCTCCTTCTATGGAAGCCAGAGTTTCATAGGAGTGCATCCGCGGGACGGCTTCACGCCCCTCATGATGTCGCAGATGACTGCAGTATCATTGCTCCTATGTGAGAAAGTAAGAGAACCGGTTGCAACCTGCACAACACCGTCAACGGACAGAGACAAACAGACAGATTGCGGACTAACTTCGAGACAGCTCCAACGCCCCAAACTTCAGTACAGGGCGCGAGCCAATGGGTCTATAATTATAACAATGTTTACTCAAACCAGAACATAGTAGCACATAGTATGTACTGTCTACATCGGGCTTTGCCCTCAGCAGACAATAAAATGGATTGAAAAAATAAAACTTCGAGACAAACACATGCAAAAGCGTATACATAGCTGCTAGTGGAGATCGGAGGCGGTTGAGCACCGTCATCATTAGGGAGCGCCTCAATGAGTCCAGGCGTCATTCAACGAGTTGAATCAGTGAAGAGCGATGTTGCAAAATGACTGTTCCAGCATGCTGAGCTCGGATTCAAGGACCTTTTCGATGACATTTGACAAACCAAAGTCTGTCAAGAGAGCTTGACCATCGTCGCTGGTAAGAATATTGGACTAGAATCCAAAGCGTAAACATCGAGTGCGAAGGATATGAAAAGAGACAAACTTACTGCTTTTGAGGTCGCGGTGATAACAACTGGCTGGCAGTTGTGCAAATAGCTGACTGCCGAAGCTATTTGGTGGATCTGTTGCATGTATTTCGTGTAAGGGGATGGTAAGCTAGCTGTCTAACTCCTGACTTACTAATGCAAATTGATCTGCTTCTGGATCCACTTCTAGATAACGCTTCAATGTACCATTGACCAAGGGGAGACCATGGCTATCGGGTTAGGAGACTGATCTACGCTATAGAGCTGCGCGATGTTCGAGTGACGCAGGTGGTGCCAGGCAGCGACCTCTGATTTAAGCCGCTGTGGTCTTTCATTAATACATAAGTTGACTACTCCGGAAATGTACACGCACCAGCATCAGCTTTTCCTTGATTTCATCTGTCATGTGCATGTACTGGCGAAGGTATTTGAGCTCGACCTGTCAACCCACTACTAAGATACCGAATCAGGAAGAAGACCAAACGATTCTTACTGGTTGTGTCCCATTGTGAGAATTCGCCCAGATTCCTTTCCAAACGTCGGCGAAGGAACCGCCAGATACAGGTGCGCTCCCTACTTTTTCAACCTCGGTCGACAAGTAACACGCTGCCTTTCACGACCAGAGCCTTCATTAATTGCTCTAGCGTTGCCTTTGCCTAGCACGTTGCTTCAGTCGTGAGTAGTCCAGGTGCTCGGACACCCAACGGAAGCTGTCGTAATGCGCGGTAGCTCAGGGTAATAGAAGTGAGGGAAGAGAAGTATAACCGGGCTGGGTGTCGCTGGAGAAAGGATGCGTTACTGAAGGTGCGCGTCGGCCGGCGACTCGATGTCAACATCAATCCAAAGAGCGGCGGCTCCCATCACTTGGGCTTGGACGCTTGAACCATGCGACCTGAGGCTCCTCGCGTTGGGTGCCGAGCATGTAGAGAGTGATAGTAAGTATGGTTGAGAATACAGATTAGCTGATGAACTAGTGAAACTATGTGTTCAACATGGCCCAACATATGATGGTTTCTTAGACTTACGAATCACCAGCAAACTCCTCGTCGAGGGTGGCAAAGCATGGACCAGGGAGCACAAACTGCTGACCTTCCGACGCCAGACCTATACAGATCTCAGCATCCAGCAGTCAAGACCCTCAAAGTGACGGAACACTTCCCTGTCGATATTCTCGTGCTGCAAGAAACCCCCAACGTAGCACGTCTTCTAACTCGATGCCATGCATGTCTAGCATTAATGACTGCACCGCTGCCAGTAATAACACGTGTTGTCAGGCTAGCAACCGTCTCCGTGTGCTTGTATAGATGTAGGGCCCATAAAAAAGTGTTAAAATTGAATGAATTACAGAGAGATAAATAAATCGGAAAGGTTCCGTACTCACCTATTCAACAGATCGTAAATCACTCGTATTCGGTTCCTGGGAGAGTCCTCTGATTACTATCAACTGGGACAAAGCACTGTCATCGGCATCAGACTTGGCATGAGCTGAATTCTAAATGCACATACAGGATTGAGACGAATTGGGCACTTAGAGACACTCCATCTGCCAGGACAATCAGTGCTGCGGATAAATGCTGAAGAGTGTAGTGTGAGTGCTCCAGCTGCAAGCACAGGGTCTGTGAAACTAAATGCGCACCGGATATTGTATGCAAAGTAGAGAGTGTTGTCTGCAAGTGGTTCAGACGATTGAGTCCAACTTGATCTAAGGGCACCGAGTAGCCGTTGCAGCAACACCTGGCAAGAAACAGTAAAAATCTGCAGATATGAAAGAAAACAACGACGTTGTCAGCCGCAGACGTACCTGGATACTGATCGCGCCAAACCGGATCATCAATCATACGCACGAATTCGCCACCCAGGTTTAGCAGCACTGTGAGAAAAAGAAGAGCAGGCATTTCCATACCAACAATTGAAGAAACTGGACGCTGATGCTGAAAACGGTGAATGTGCGACCAGGTCCTCAAGGAAAGTGTGGGGGTGACATTTTTGCCGATATGTAATGGACCAATCTGCTGCCTGTTGAGATGCGTGTTGGTATGCAACCGGGGGTGAATAATCATCGAGATAGGTATATTCGCTAATTTTACCTGTCGAGGCTTCCACATTAACTTCAACTTTGCCAACTGGCACTGTAAATGTGGACGGAGTATGCCCGCATACCCGTCATCCCTAGCTTTGCCTTTTCTTTGGCAGAGACCGTCGGTGGAAGTCTTGATCAAATAGTCAAGCTGAACATTTTCAATGAGATCACTCACGTGCACCCTAACCTGATGGTTTTTAGCCCATTCATTTTAGTTGACTGCGATGAACACACATACCTTGAGATACATTTTAATGGCAATGATTGATAGACTGAGGCATTATTCGATAACTTCGAGCACTACCTTTTTCATTTCATCAGGTGTTTGAAATTCATGAATTAGGATTGACTGTGACTTACGCGTATGGAGACGAGCTGTGAATGACGGGATCGGATACACATGTTCCGCATCACACAATTCGGAAACAGATTAACCTGCTTGTAAGCGAAGTCTCAGAGGGCAGTATGGTGAATAGCATCAAAGGCATAAAACAGTCATTTCATGAGATGGAATCATCACAAGTAACTGAAGTAATAAAAAGACATAAATAAAGTCTGCCGTACAACGAACTGGTTAACTTATAGCAATACAACATGTGGTAAGCGATTGTCACATACTAGGTACAACAAGTGATCTTGTTAGAAGAGCGCAGAGACATCGGAAGATATGGATGGAGTCGAACACCAATCTTCAAACCAATAATCAAACAATTTGGAAGAGTTGGCAGGTAGACGTGATTCGAATGTCCCAGCAGTTCCAGAAGAAGTGTACATTCCTAAAGACATTTTAGTGAGACAAACGAAGAAAAAAACTGCAAGCAAACCATCATCAGTGCACTGAATACCGGCAGTGCGTGCTATGGCTTCTGAAAACATGTCCACTTCGGCCTGCGCACGCTGTTTCTTCAACTCCAGAATAGAAAAATCGGATTTGAGTGCATCCGGCGTTTTATTCTTCTTTGCTTTAAAGCTTTTGATGTTGTCGGTGTGTAGGAACTTGGAGTCTGCAGAGGATGTGGTGATGTAGGTGCGATGTGTGACGCGACCAAACCAAGCTTCCATCAAAGGGGAAAGAAAATCATTGTCGTGCTGCATATTGTCAGAACAGCGAGTCCCTCCCACTATAGATAGTACTCACCCTTGAAAGGTGTTCATACAGCTCAGGAACTTCGTGAGATTGTGGGAAATCTACTTCAAACTGCCATGACGTGGCAAGCCATGCTTCGCATTTTTCTCGAGTAGCACTTGAAAGTTCAAACTGATCGTAATCGGCCGGCAAAATGTCAACATCGACCAGCTGAGTCACTTGAGATGTGACTAGATCCTCATCAGTCTTCTGTACAAGCTGCGTCTTTGACCATGTAGCTAGGAACAAATTTAGAGTGAGATCACTTCCGAATAACATGACTCACGTGGGCAGTATCTGGCTTTGAGCTCTTCACATAAGTTTGCAATAGCTTTACTGAACAAGGAGACCTCCATCTGAGCTCGGTACATTCTCTCTTCCATTAAGGATCGCCCTCCTCGCATAAGGAATGTGATGATCGTGTTGTGTTCCTTCAGTAGCTGTCTCTCTATTGCGGTCACCCTGAGGCTTACTTGGAGGACAGCTATAAGATCAAGGGGGTCAACCCATCCAAACAGCACGGAGGTTGTGGCGAAGAGCGGATCTGAAGCCTGGAGTCAGTGTTATGAGGGAAAAACAGTATGACAAACATGAAATTAGACTGACAACTTCACGTCCCTGATTCTGAAGCCAAGACTTGAGGGCGTGTTCTGTATGCTCGATCTCGAGAAAGTGCCTTGTCGAAGGCGTGAAGGATGCAGAAAATAATCCTGAACTAATATTTAACATGTTGAAGTGCAGTAGCAAAGAGGTTCGAGAGAAACTCGCACAATCGTCGAGGGTTTAGTGGGTTGAATGCTTGCACGTTAGCGGTGGCTGTGCGCTGGCAAAAATAGCCAGAAATTACGTCATGAGATTCAACAGTCGGTGAAGATCCCTGCATGACATTCGTGAGCATAATATTGATTAGCTTTTCGATATCTTACATTGAAGAATGCAAGCTCGTACTTTCATTCGTGCAACCCGCATCCCCACAATGGCTCCTGCAGTGGTCGAAACATCTGAATTCTCAAACTATCACAAAGTCACAACACAGAGCCCAATGCATATTTCAAACCAACCAATACAAGGTATCGAAGGTATAGAACATTTTTCTTCAGAGAAGCTCAGCTGCGGACAATCCTGCAGACATCATCCTGACTGTATCTCCATTAATCAGTAGTACAAAATGAGCTCAACTCAGGCAACTCACTCAATGTGCACAAAGTTCGCAAACACCTGCAGGAAGTCTGGGTATGCTGGGTCATCTGTCTGTTCGAGCAACCACAACAGGCACTCTAGTACTTCTGAATAGATAAAAGCGACAGGAGGAAATATTGACATCATGATGTTGACGGGCAGCCCTGGAGGTTTTCATCGCCTTGACCAACTCACTGAGCCGAGTCAAGAGGGCGCTGTACCACTAGTGTAGAGCGACAGTTGTAAGTGAATGAGAGTTCAACTGCAAACAAGCGACTTACAATAGCGAGGACATATGCAATCATTGCCACGGGTGGGAGTGGGGCAGTTCTGAAGATAGCTGATTCCTCATCGCCAATCACGACTCTTGCGCCAGGAAGTCGAGCTGGCCGCAAAAATGATATAGAACACGAGCGACTTGACAATCTCGTTTCACAGAGGCCACAGTAAGCCATTGACCTGCGTGGTATATCAGACTTTAATACCCAAGGCAACTCAGAAGACTTACTGAAATGGGGAGTAATGTAGACTGTGGGGCCATGAAGCGCCTCAGAAGTTCCACACACTTGTTCGCTAAGAGACTTGGGTCTGCAGGCGGACAGTATCATTGAGGCCAAAACCGAACACCGATCTGGTGTCCATGATAGCCAATTTGGCCACACGCTTCAAGTCGGAATTGAATCCTGCTATCCATTTTGTGGCCTATTCTAGGTGAGACAAGCCAATAGAAACAACGTACACAACATACCAACATTAACATGTCATCTGTCGTGATGACGGTTATTCCGTCATGGGAGACAACTGGAAAGAGTCAGTATGTACAGAAGATATCAGATCGACGAGCTTCTGACCAGTTTTCTAGGTCATCACGGAACTAAGTTAACTGCGGTCAGACTCTGCTCGAAGAGCAAGTTGATAAATTGTTTCCTCTGTTCAGCATAACCTAGTTGCGTGAGCAAAAATGGATTTTGAACATTCCCGCAGCAAATCGCAACTTTCATTTTGAGCCGAAGGCAGACCAGGGCATTCCTCCATCACGGAACACCCAACAGAATCATATGCAAAGTATCTGTGAAGGGAGGAGGAGCCTCGGGTGCTTTTGGTTCTGGTGTATCATCGTCCAGCTGAACACTACTGACATCCACAGCAGACGACACCATCCACGACTCTGGTACAGAGTTCATAGGGGAGTAGAGGTTCACAGAAGAATCTGCGGGAGACTGCGGTGCCGATAAATACACCTCTGGCACGACTGAAAGTCGCTCGCGTGAAGTTAGGGCTTCGACCACTTCAATGTCATCAGCCATCTCCTGGAATGAAAGTGAGTATATTCCGAGGTCAGAAGAAAACCAGGGAACAGACCTGTGTAACACCAACTTTGATCTCTGATGGCGCCGAAGAGTTCTCGATTGGGTCGAAAATATCTGAAAATTGCGCCAACATATGATTATAGTCCGACGGAAGGAAATGGGCAGACGGGGAAAGGGGAGCAGACGGGGCATACAGGGCAGACGGGGAAAAGGGAGCAGACTGGAAACAAGAAGTGGACGTGGACACAGGAATGTGTCCCATGGGATAATCGGCGTAATGGGCCATTGTCTTGTAGTTACCTTTATTGCCTGCGTCGTCCTGAGGCTAAGGTATTGTCAGACGGGATCGCTTCAATATTGGGAAGTGAGCTCACCCATCAATAGACTCGATGAATCTTACTGGGCCCTTGTTTGTACCAGGCAATGTCCCAGTCCAATGTCACCCCCTCGACACGGCGCTACAACGCTAATCAGTGGGAAGACGAGACACAGTTCATATGTAAATTCATACATCGATGTAAATGGGAACCTCTCTGCCTTCTTGGTCGGGTTCATAAGTGGAATTGTGGTCTTTGATGCTTGTCACCAAATAATCGAACAATGTAATTTCGAGCTTCAGCTACAGGGAACATCAGCGTATAATCCTCACAAAATCCGCCACCTACAGCATCGAGCCTATTACTGATGCACTGCGGCCAATGATGAGACGCCCAAAGTCTTCAAGAAATAGGAAACACCTATGTATAATGGATAAAGCACGGGTCATGGGGGTATCACCAGGTATCCCGTGAAGTGGAACGCTTCGCTCCCACCAACTATAACTTCCTGAAAGGACAGTTAGCAATGTCGTTGTTGAGGCAAAGAAAACACGTACAGCGAGAGGCAAAAATGTTGGATGGGTCTCACCAAAAAAATAACAGGTAACGTTCTGAGGTTCCATAATGTTAAGATGTGATGAATTCAATAGATACAAACACCTGCCTTTAAATATGATTAAATACCTCGGGTCCCAGTTGCCTTCGCTTGCGATTGTCCAAAATGAACTACTGATCCAGGGGAAATAGGTATTTGGACACAAAGTGGTGAAAGGGCGAATACATATAAGAATAGCGGTATGGTGCTAATGTGAAAGAGTGGAATAGCGGTGATATAGTAGCATTCGCGCCAAAAGTATACGCGTGCACTGTAGCGGCGACAAGTCCGTTGAAAGCCACCTACCAGCCTATCATGACTCATACTTTACGTACTGGCTACATTGAGCGCTACTCCATGATCTAGTTTTTGTAATCTAGGTCAAGTTCGCTATCATACATCTCGTCTAATTGTTCTAACAATGATTCATTGCTAGAACTGGGTGACTCTTCGAAATCCAGTCCGTCTTCGTATTCATCTCTTTCCATATTGTCTGCGGGATCTGCGACATCATCAGTCAAGGATGAATGTAATGGTGTGCCTTCTCGTTGAAGCCCAGCTGGCGTGGTGCGATAGTGAGAGTACACGTGCCCGATGCCAAGCCCAAAGTGAAAGTGCATAAGCATGTCGCGATCCACAAACCTGACGCAATGAACTGAATACTACTGACTTCTGATATGATATGACTGACTCACCGGTTGATATAGTACTCACACCAATCATCCTTGTCCCCTGCACATGCCGATACACCCAATCCATCCTTGTGTCTCTTACCGCTTCTGAAACGAGGTATGATGTGGTAGGAACGAAGGACATCTGCAGGATCAAGGAAGTCAAATGAATGTTCATCCGCAAGGGGGGGGAAGTTAACTCGATCTAGAGTCGAGGTCGACCAGTCGGAACGTTGATCCAAGGACTTGTACCAACGGATCCATAAGAACTCCATCCTGATTGGAGTATAGTCGACCATTCCATGTCCGGTAATGATCACATTAACGTGATATACACCCAATACCCTACCGTAGATACGTTATGATGCGAGTCCTTGCATTGATGACATCTTGGGCCCTACAAACATCATAGGTCGTGTAGTTGAACCTGGCAATGTGATGCTCATACATCCGATCATCCTTGATAATGATTGTGTTGATATTGTGTTCATTTCTCAACCTTAGAGAATCTTCCGATGTGTTGAGTCGATGCAATAGATGGTGCTTCAGTTTCAGAACGAAGTTCTGCATAGGCGTGTTAGAAGCCATTCGATGGAGTAATACTGCACTAACTGCTATGGCTGGATCGCCTTGATGGCTGAGCAAGTATGATCCTATGTGCACAACATGCTTTTGTGTCAATCCAATAAGATGATGAGGTAGAGGGCTTCGTGCTATCTCGGAAATTTCGACATGAGGGCGAAGGACAATGTTGTGGCCGATATGATGGATGCGAGCCTGACGGCATTCGATCTGAGTCAGCTGTTTTACAAAGAATCAGCGATCGGTCCTACTATATCTGGCCTTCGGAGAACGATGTTCCAATTCACCCTGTAGAGACCAACTGAGTAAAGTTCACGATGGAACATTGTAGGACGAACCGGTTCAGTGCTGTAAGAATCAGAAGTACCATACTGGCGAATCGTGGAAACATAGTCTCCCAACGCGTGGAACTTGTACAGTCTGGAAATTGAATGCTTTACATCGCTTCACGCTCTGATTTAAATTTAGGGAGTTATTAGACTCTCCTTGCTCTGCGACATCCAGCACTGCTGTTTGCCTTTATGCGTTGTCTTCTGTTTATTGCCTGCTTTGCATGGCGTCGAGCACGACGCTCAACTTCCTGCCGTAGTTCGTGGGTTTCGTATCCAGCGCACACTGTGGCCTTGAATTGACAAAACTGCTGGCCGAGCATTGAGGTCACTTGGTCCATGACCTCGAGGGTCAAATCAGAATGCATCCGGAGCTTAGCAAGCCCATGCCAATGTGCCATAGTAAACAATAACTGAAGCACAATACGATTATGCGGCTCAGGAAGAAGGCCATCAAAGACAGGGATGGAGCACTAAAATGTGTTAGTAACCATCTAACTTATTGGTGAACTTGTACCTGAAGTAGATCTTCAAAGTTTCGAGCAGCCATATGTTCATCTCGGAAGAATTGGCTGAAAACTTTCGGATGGTGGCTGCACCAAACGTCGGAGTCTGCCTGTATCTGAGGATAGGAGTCAGATGAATCAAGCCAACAACTTCTTCCGATACACCTTACCTCTGATCCAATCGATGGATAAGGTTCAGGTCATGTGCCGAAATGATACGCAACAGGTGAATGAATAAGATCTTCCATATGCCTGAGCTCAAACTCGTGTAATAGATCTACTACAAGGGCTTGAAAGATATTTACACCTAAATGACCAAGGCGGTCTGAGAATGCATTCTAAGGATGCGGTTAGCCTTGTCAATAATTCAAATCGAAATCTTACAGAGGTGGGCACCCACTGACTGTGGCTTCAGAATGTGTTCCACCGCTGCGCTGCCGACCGCGAAGTTCTGCTCATAAATGAGTGAGCGTGCAGTGCTCACCATCACTCCTCTCTTCTCATCATTGCGTGCCAGAGTCTCGCATTGTTGTCTATCTTGAGGGCAACCCATGTTCTGAATCCTATCCTTAGGGATGAGGCAGCGAGGGCATGGACACCCTCCCAGGTTTCGGACCGTCGCTATAAGTACTCTGTTGAACTGAGACTCAATAACATTCAATAATGCAAGATCACACGTACTTTTCTGGATAGTCTGCAGAGTAAGTGAAGATTCTCGGGTAGAATCTACGCTTGATGCCATCTCAGCAGCAAATCACAATGCCATGCTCATATGCCTCGAGGAACTCGTCATCCAATATAATTCTCCACTGCTGGTGAAAGAGTTCCTGGTGACAATGTGTTCTGCACTCGCTGCCCATGCCCTTCTTGCCCGCTAAATCTTTGAAGGAATCAGGGAGCTGGTAATAGGACATTGAATACTGAGCACAGCAAACACTATAGGAAGGCGTACCATTTCGAAGTAAGCAATGTGATTACTCAAATTGCATGATGGCTTGCAGCGACGATACTTGGACTCATTGCCAAAGTACATGTATGTAGGCCACAACTTGGCATCGCCAAATGAAGTGAGTTGGGTAGTGTCAGACCAGAACATAAGGCCAGCCACCACCCGGGGTAGATCACAGTCTGGTTCTCCCGGTGATGTTTGTAGGTCGCTGTGAGCTTTGTGGAAAGCCGCGGACGTGTACAAATCCCCATAGATAGAGACTTCACCATCTAGGTGGGGAGGAGCCCAACGCAGCTTGTATGGCTCGTAATGGAACAACTTGTCATCTCGAGCACTGGAAAGCTTCTCACGCAGAACAGCTATAATGGAGCGATCATATAAATTCGCTGCATGATAAAGCCGCTGGCCTGGCACTTCAGTGGTGCGCGAAAATGGTACTTTGATAGAAACAGGCGATCTTTTCCATCCGGCATCTTCGTCCTCCCATTCTTCCCCATCTCCCTTGTCGTAATCATTCAGGCCCAGCTGAGTGTTGATCTTCTTCCAATTGGTGGAGCTTACGTTGGTAGCCTTGAAAGTACTGCTACCCAGGATATCCATCAGTTTCTTGTAGTCTCCTTGTGACTTCTGTACACCCTGATTCCAGTACCAGTCGCCTAGCTCGAAGGAAGAGTGATTAGGATATGGAAGGTACTGAGAATCACTGTTTGATGTAACAGGTGAAGGCAGTTCATTGTTGGCTTGATGGCTACCTTGTATAAAGGAGAGGTCTGTGATGGTGACATGCTCTTCGGGATCGTGGGATGGCAGTTCGGAGAAGTACTGGCGAACTAGTCCAAAGATATTTGAGGGGGTGCGGAATCCCGTGCGCACTGGCGGACCAGGTCGTTTGTCTGAATTGACAATAGAGGCCACAGGTTCCATATGTCTGGCCTGAACCAAAGGGACCATAGGAGGTGGTTGTGATGTGTAACCAGACACTGACATGAATGCATGAAGCAAGGCTAGGAGACAGATTTGACCTACCAGATTGTACCAGTGTATCAATTGCTTAGTAGCTGGGAAAATCATGATCACGCCAAAGTAATGGCTGAATGAGGCAATTGCGCTAGCTTGAAAGCAGAAGGTCAAAAATGGCGATGGTGTAATTTGGATAGCGTGGGGCTTACATAGCAGGTATTTATGCTGTTCAAGGCATCTTCCATCTTTACTCCAAATGTCCTCACTCTCTTCTCCATCGTCTGCATATTCAACGCTTGAGCCACTGGAATTCAAAGCTGACCCTGAAGTTGTCAGTATGCTAGTGCAGATCTTAACCACCCGCCACGGCATACTTCATTACCATGGGGAAACAGGAGAACTGGCGACCTATCAATGGTATATCATATGATTTAATGGACAGCTGACTCACTCACCCGACCTACAGGCCGACTGACCGACATGGGCGCAAAATCCACCCATCACAGTTCAAGGCATATCGCGAGACGCATGTGTTTCGTTATCCATCTTGCCTCTGTTCCAGGGATGGTAATTATGTGGAGGCTTCAGTATTTGAGCGAACTCGGGGGATATGTCGAGGAGAGTATGTTGCCGAATGTGCGACCAGCACTTGCGCCTATATGTGTAAGTTGGCAGTCTTTAAGTCAAGTATCACGATAGCTGATGTTCAGTTTAGTAAATGTAGAGAAGTTCTTTGAGAAGGCCTACATACCGGCTGTGTATTATCCTCGTAAATGGTATTCATGTTATATTTTTCTACTACTCCTTGGAAACTCATACTTTGAAAAGATCATCACCGTGTTCTTGACCATCGTCCAGAACGATGCCACCCACAACGCGACCTGTGTCATTAGCATTCGAAGATAGGGATGAATAGCACTTCGCGGAGGCAGGATAACGAGCACTAGACTAGCACTATCAGTATTTTATCCTTAATTCAAAATTTAATGACTCGTACCGTCTGCCATTCATCTTCAGATGTTATCAGACACTTGCATCTAAAATTCTTCCATCCTGCTGATGGGGCATCCGAGCATGCATCGATCATTCATTAGTCCTGAAGGTCATGCCAGTATTCAACTTCCTGTGGAATAGGATGGGGCGCAAATACTTGTGTGACAACAACATTGTGCGAGAGAATTGAATGACGTACAAAAGCAGTACTTCAAAGGATAATTATGATTTTTGACGGCCCATCTCACGTAACAGCACCACAGAAGGAAGACGAGATACAACTAGGAAAGAAAGTGGATCGATAAGGAAGCTATGCAAATTATAAGTATTGATAATTGGGAGCGCGGCTCCCCACGCAATGATCTTCATTGAAAAACCTTTGGAGATCATTACTCAGTATCAGCCTAAGGCGAGCAAACAATATAGTAATCAATCGTACATCATTGATGCGCGGGCCGCTCAGAGGGAAACAATTACAGCAATCTGATAACTGAAACACAGAGACTCATGTGGTATTCAAGGTCCCATACACTAATACAATGTCTTGATAATATTCATACATTGATGAACATCATAAGTGAAGGAAGACTATAGCATTAGAAAACACTAGGAACAAAAACTTAAGTAATACGTATTGGGAAAGAAGGTTGGGGAAAAAGAGTCATAACGTGACTCAGGGATTTATATACTGAATGACAGTCAAGTTTAAACTCAGCTGGAATTCAGCGCTCAATCGGTATATACCAGAAATTTGGAAAGTCCCGTCCGTCCCATTTTGGGCTTTAGGTGTCGGATGCCAGTTGCACATCATGCATCATGCCCTGCTCGTTGCTCATCATCACTTGATGTTGTTCATGCTAATGGACTTTCTGCTCCACTCTATGCTGGAAACAGGCCCTGAGGCAAGGTTAGTTCAATCTTTGCCTTCTCCAGGCCGGCACTCCCTTGCTCACTGCTAGTCTATATAAATTCCTTTGGGTGCCGCTCAACTTACAGGGTCACACCCGCATCGTAAGATCCCTCTGTATTACTCCCAATGAAAGGTATATTGTTAGCGGATCAGCTGACTGCTCCATTCACATCTGGGATCTCAAGCTCAAGACCAATCAGGCAGTTGGGGATCCACTCTTGCATGATGACCAAGTCTGCGCTGTTGCCATGTCCCCCGATGGAAAATACATTGCCAGCGCTGGACTAGACAAAACAATCTATGTATGGAGCCTGGAGGCGGCGCTCAAAAATGTTCTGGTATGTATGCGCTTAGTTGTCTAACTTTCCTTCCTAACAGTTTTGACCATCTAGGGCGCAGATGATCGCAATTCAAAGCTCCAGGCCAGTCATCTTTGCTTCTCTTTCACACTACATCTCACTTTTTCACTAGGGACATCCAGCCCAACCGAGAGTTGTGCGCCCACCGATTGTGAGCAACCCCACCTTTTCTCATGTCTTGTTAGACCTTTGACCCCCGTCTTGCGTCTAATCAGCAGGTTCAAAATACCGGACTGGCAAGATATGTCAGTGCAGTACACAAAGATACAGGGCAATGGTTTCTTTGGCGATGAATCAGACCACACATCTCGTCGTGCAGCTCCGTCCACAAGCCTATCGTCCCTTGTTCATTGGTGTCATTTGCTCAGTTCCATACATTTCGGCACACGACCTCTAAATGGATCCCAACCAATCAGACGACGGTCTCGACACTGGAATTTCAATTTCCAGTTGTTTTCTGGAGGACATTCCACACACACTGTCGATGCACCTCTGGCTCAAGATGAAGATGTGAGTTACTCGTCGTCCCCTCCGATTTTGTCCCATTAAAATACACTGCAGAGATATGGCATTGTCCATGAAACTGATGTGGAAGCGGCTGCAGCTATGCAACGTACCAACAGCAGCTGGGCCAACAGTCTAACGCAATCAGGTCAACCAGCAGCGGCACAACCATCTCAAGCACAACCAATCCAAACACAAGCACAAGGCTCAACTGGCGGAGCAGAAGACTTTGTGTATACAGGAGTGACCTGCTGCGCATGGTTCTTTGGTCTCCGTCGTCCTGCTTCGCATCAGTCGTGTGGCACGCGCGCACTCAGTTCAACTCTTCTTTCCTGCACCTGTGTCTAACCCCTCTCATAATCTATTCGCCACCATAGCCATCACCCACGCATTCGGATCCATCTCTCATCATGTACCTCCTTTCCCTTGCATTACTTCCCCTGGATCTACCCCACGTGTTAACAATACCACCGGGGAAGTTGGCCCCATTTTCTGGAATGCAGCTCTTGGTGGTACAATGACCTTCTGCGTGAGGGGCATAATGTTTGTTTTCCGCAGATTTGTTTGTGAAGTTGATGTTTTGATGGTCATTCAATATTCAATATTCAAATCTAGACTTCTGCGTTCCTCTTTACTCGCGAGTGCTTACAACCTATAGCAACCCAAGTACCTACTCTATCGCCCTTTGTAGATTACTGCATGGTATCTCTTCAAACGATTGCATGCAAGAGAGCCGAATTTGAGCATTTTGATAGACCCAGAGCAAACATGTCTTAATGATTATGATGATTACGATATAACGTGACAGGCTATAACAAAATACATGAAGCATCACCAACAGTCAAGGGTCAGAAAACGCATTAGGTTGATAACCGCGAACCAAAATGTAAGCTCTTGAAAAACACCAGTATAAGATGTCATCTACCTCAGCGTTACAAAGTAAACAGCTCTGTATGTAGAACAATCCCACCTACATACATATCCATCATCAAACCCATTTTCGCATCTCTTGTCAAGCTCTCGAGGCTCTGAGCCACTAGCGCAGACCGCGACTCCCCCACCCAAGCCCATCATTTTCTGGCTTTCATCACATCGGATTTCGATCAAATCTTCCTTTTCAGACGATGACGGAAGACTGATGGAGTCCTTGAGAAGATCCTGAATAGACAGACGCAAGAGTGTGATGATAGAGTTAGGGATATGAGGTACTGCTTCTGGATCGCAAAGGCATATCACGAAAATGGAGATATGCAGGTCGATGGGGTTATTAGACGCTGCTGTAGCAATATCTGTAGCATTAGGGTGAACTATTCTATCTGATCTGTGAAAATAGATCAGAGTAATGTAACGCTGTGGTCAAGAATGAAATACCAAAAGATCCAATGCACCAGGTGAACTCGATTATCCTTGTTCGTCCCCCCTGACTGCGGCCTAGTTTGACACACCTGCCGATGATGTTGTCCAGCAGACCAAGAGCGAATGCGATGCCAGACCCACCAGCTACAAGAAATACGCTTTTGTACAGTCCCAGATCAACACTCGACCCTCTATAAGGACCATCCAGCATGACCACTCCCGTGGACATCCCATCTGTGAGTCCTCCACCACCATATCTGCTCCATGGACGGCACCAAATAAGTCACCGAATAAAACATCGCACCATGGGATTTGCAAATGATATGTAGGACATTGGAATATGCACGAGGGTGTTAGTAGAGCCGTGTGGATGTCTGTTCGTCCGCCAGAGATGGAGGTGCATGTGCACGGCGAGGATTGCAAGGACTATCAACTGAAAACTATATATGGGTTCACGTATCGGGTATTGTTAGTAGGAATACGTAGCAGGGTGTGGATGTGCATACTCATACAACATATTGTGCTAAGACTGGGGCGCAGAACATCAATGCTCAGTCAAAAAGGGTATTTGATAAATTCACGTACCTGGAAGAGCAATGTGAAGACATTCACTATCGAGGACACTTCACGAAAGAGAACGATCATGGATGAGTATGGAAAAACAGCATATAGTAGTATGGGATGGATGGGACAGACAGGACAGATGGGACAGGCTGGACAGGACGGACAGGACGGGCTGGACGGGTGGGACCGAACTTTCAGGTTCCCTCGGTCCTCAATCGGGTTTTGCCAGCGGGAATTGAATACGTAGTCATTCTGTATATCAAGTTCGTCTTCAAGAAATGAAACACTTTCCGTATAGCCTAGCATTGACTTATATTAGTTAACGGGATGGTGGATTCAACTTGGTCACTAATCGTTCTGTACATTAATTAATAATATTGACCAACACCAGCCAATGCCGCCCACAATATGGACAAAAGAAGGTGGATCTTCACGTTGATCAGTTCAGTTTCATTGTGTACTAGTGCCCACAATTCCGAGTCCACCTTCCTTGCGTCGTTATTACTAAGTGCCTCCACAATTACAATTAGTCATTCACTATAAATGTTGAGCATGGCCATTGCTAGATCTTCTTTTCACCATCACCTTCTCGATACGATACTTGTAGATGCAATAAAGAATCTGAGCAGCGCATAGTAGGCGATTGAATATACAGTATGTTAGGTTTGGGGTCATTATACAAATCATGCTGATCATGTACAGCTACAGATGAAACCATGGCCAAACGCATGGCGTCTAGTGACGATGAACCTGCCCCAAAGCGCATCAAGAATAACGAAAGTGAGTGTGATAAAACATTATTGATATTGTCACTCATCCCTGTGTTTATGATGTAGGGAATTGTCGGGCAACACCATCACCACGGGAGGATGTGAATGCCTGGCACATTCTGGAACGCTTCCTCACTACCGATATCACATACCCCCAAATGGAAGACACGTTTTTATCCTACCTCAGCGATCAACACTCACCGGACGATTGGAAGGACGCCCAAGCGGCATTGTTCTCTGGTGATGGCGATGACGCCGTTGCCCTGTCAAATCTTCGCGCGCTGATGGCCGCAAACATACCCCAAGGTTTATCAGATACGACGAGCACGGAGAAAGATTCACCTGTAGCTACATCTGCCTCAAGAAAGGGTATCCGAGGGACTAAGGGTAGTCAGTCGTGTAGGACATCCAATTTCAAAGTGCGTGAATCATTCATCTCTGATATGATATATTTACACTAAATATCATGTGTAGCGCTTTATCAATGACGAGGCGGGGGATTCTGAAGATGATGAGGATGAGGATGATGAGGGGGAGGAGGTTAGAGATGGCTCCTCTGTGCAATCACACAGTATTACATATTTGCCAGGACCATCGGCCAAACATATGTTGGCTGCAGCGATTGATAGCATTTTCAACAAGTACGAAAACACCCCTGCAAAGTCTTCAGAATGATGCCCCCCTTGTAGAGCTGCTTGGTCTCCTGGCACCATCGAAAACAGGATGTATCTTCTTGTTGTTCATAGTATGTTTAATTTTCTATTGCGTAGCACGTCACTCATTGCATGTCAGGAACTGCTACACATTATATCACGGAATGCCTTCGAGATAAAGGATTTCCTGTGATCGTGTTGGCTTGGTTACCTGGTCAGCTGTATGTGGTGTCGGATAGCCCCAGAACGATTGCAGCATCGCTTCCACCCTCTCATAGTCTCTCTGTGAAGGAGTATCTTCGTATCTCGGAGGAAGAACGTGAAGCTGTGGAACGTTCAAGCATCAAAATTCCTAGCCCATCATGGGTGAGGATACGACATGGCAAGTACAAGGGCGACATAGGCTATGTCTTCGATCCTGATCAATTAAACCATTTTGTCACAGTCTTGATCCCCCCACGAGAATTCCCCTATGACATGCCTCAGGAGTCGGTAGCGCTCCTCAACCGGTCTCGCCTTCCAAATGACAACAGTGTCTGACATTCTTCGTGACGGGGACATCATAGGGTATTCATACAAAGGACAATGCTACTACGGGGGCCTTTTACTCAAAAACTATCACTGGTATCTCGTAGAACTCGTCGCCTACCCTCACACTGATGAAATCCGACTGCATGTGCAATCCGGGTGGGACAAAGCCTTTTTGAAGAACACTATCGCAGCGTTTTCGATGCAGTTCTTGCACAAAGGAGATTCGGTCAAGGTAATCAAAGGAGAAGTTTGCTCAGAGATCAGTACAGTCGTCTCGACACACCATGCATCTGGTACTGCGTGTCTAGAGATCAATTTTGACGGTCATCAACAAGAAATGCATGTTCGACTCCAAGATATAGAGCACGTCTTTTGGGTGGGGGATCCAGTTCAAGTTGTAGTGGGCTCACACTTGGGTTTAGAAGGGCATATCATTCAAGCTACCGGAGACATTTTTGACGTCTGTCAAGAGGTCTCTCTGGAAGTGGTAAGTTTCTGGCATACATCCTGCAAAACGGTGTAACACTCATTGTGTAGGTTCAAGTGTCTAAGCACTACTTAGATCGCTGTCCCCCGAAATACACATATAAATCTCGACCACCCACACAACAGCATTTCGAACATTGCCCTGACGAGTCTATACAAGTTGGAGACTACATAGAAATACTCTTTGGAGAGCACATAGGCAAATGTGGGGTCATAGCATGGTTTCCTGTGGGAGCAACACAATTGTGGTTCTCGCATTGAGTACAGTTCAGGACCGCCACTTTTCCAAGTTCTTGCCACATTTGTTCGGCGAAGGGGCTTGTCACAGACATTAAAATACATGAAGGAAAAAGGTTACGATGTGAAGTCTGGAGACGTTGTGAGAGTCGCGTGCAGGCCGGAGTATCAGACCAAAGGGGTCGTGCAAAGTGTTGACTTTCCAAAGGCTCGGTTGACATTGTTATCTGAGAATGATCGCTCACTCGTAAGTATTATTCGATACCACTCAGTCATATCTGACCTGGTACAGATTGAGGTTCCAATCAACTTCGTGGTGAAGTTATGCAATGCATCGTTGGATTCTTTCAACGATGTGATCGGCCAAGAAATCTTCGTCATTGGAGGTAACCGAAAGGGCTACCGAGCTACACTATACAGCATGGGGAGCGAGTTTTGCACCATTGCTGTGCATGGGCAAGCGCATACTGAGATCAAGCACCAAGACGTTGCGGCCAGGTGAGCTTTGTGCACACTTTCGAAGTAGGGCAATTGCTTACGACTGTTTAGATATGGAATGAGATTAAGCAGCGTGATGCTTGAAGCATCGGACTTGATGACATTCTGTGATATGTGAAAAGTGTCATACTTAAAGTCGCCACCACGAAGAGTCACCACCCCTCCTCCAGTTCCTTCCAGCACGTCTAGTTCCATCGGCGCAGATCCCAGCTTGTCATCATCCACATGGACTGACTGGAGCGCCAGCCTCTCGGATACCAATGTTGCCCATGATCCTTCGTCAATCGTTACTTCCAGCTCAGATCCCTGGTCTTTCAATGCACAGGACATGCAGGATAACATCTCCGCTGGAGCAAAGCAAGTCAAAGACAACGGTAAGTCTTCAACAAGGCCATCACATAATGTTGCTAATTTGATTACAGGCCCGCTACCTTGGTTGATGAGCAAAGAGTTTTCTTCGCTCTTGCTATCATATCATGCAGTATTCAGAGTCTCACTGAGCTTCATGGGGGGGAGGCTCCACAAGCGATTTGTATCAATGGCCTGTCCTGACTCATTCTGCAGCGTGAACGGACCCGCGCCCAAGGATTGCATTGCGGTATTTTGCACATCTAGCAACTTAGGTGCTGCTACTCAGCATTACCACATCCCCGCCAAGGATCTAAGCCCGGCACCTCCAAGAAAAAAAAATCAACAATGCCTCATTCTGGACAGAAAATCTCGTGGTCAGATACTGACTATCTCGAGGTGTAACATCAAGCAAAATACCACTGAGTTTGTAATTGAGGGTGACACTAGCATTATCTTGCATTTCGATCAAATATGTCTAGTGGAACATGCCCAACAGATCATGTGATTTGCCATGTACCGTACCATACATTAATCTACTTGTTTGCGGCAAAGCTAGGTTAAATCAGCCCTTGGTGCTCATATGTTGATAGTCTCCCAGCTATTAGCTGGATCAAAAGATGCAGACAGAGTGGTGGCCTAGATTGTCGCTCTCGGTGAGATCATCAAGATGAACGAGGCTTTCGTCCATCTTTAATCTCGCCCATAATATTCCTGCTGACTTTCAGCCCACTGCTCTTGATTGTGTATGCAACACCACATTGTCATTCAATATCAGCATCTGCTCGAGCCTGACCCAATCTGGCAAGGCAGCCTCATCAGGAGCGTGTGTTTATCAGTGCTCACTGTTCTATATAATTATTCACAATCTACAGCGACACTTTCCGTCAACCTGCAAAACGAATTGAACTACCATCTTTACTTGCCCAAAGACGAAAAAAACTGAGGCTAATTGACGACACTGTTTTCAAAGATACGACAAGGTTGGAGCCTTTGTGAGTCTTGTTTGCCAGCCGATCGAAGCAACAATTCAAGGTAGCGAAGAGAACAGACACAGTCTCATCCAAAACTGAAGGTGCGTGTTTATTTTCTGCCCTTGTGGCACAGCTCGAGTTGAGCATTCAGATAGTCAATTTGACATGTTGTGTGCAGCTCTGGCAGAAGCAAAGGCGAAATCTGGTGAGAAAGAGTATTATCTAAGTCACTGGCCATATAAAGGCCTCCATTGAGGTCACATCACTTGCAAAGAACGGGGGACTAAGGAGCAGGTATTTACAATTTTGATCGTTGTTGGCGAAACTGAACTACTCATCTGGCGCAGTTTCAATATGAGGATGGATACTGGGCATACTATGTTCTCATCGGTTTCACTCAGTCGGGTCGTGTGGCCGCTGTTTCTGTAGCAAAGTGTGCTGCTGAAGAAGTTGAGGCAAGTCTTAGATATCAATCTTCTTGACTCGTGTACTGACTCTTTGTACAGATGCACATTCAGCTCTATCATTGGCTACTCGATCTGTTTCGAGGACTGTACATCAGCAGAAATAGAGATCAAATGTACGCTGTTGTATTTCGTTTCTGATGTGGCTAATCTTGTTGTCTAAATCCCTGCTTTAGAATGCTCACATCTGGTCTCGTGACTCTCATTTGTGAGGATGGTCAGACCGGTATCTGGAAAGGCTTTGGTACCACCTTTGTCGGTTGCTCATCACAGGGCATGTTCAAGTACGGTCTCTATGAATGGCTGGTGAGGAGCTTTCTAGCAAATACAAGCCCACCATCTGGCTCGCTGGTTCCGGCAGAGGTCTTTGCTGACATCGCTCTTTGCCCTCTCGAGATGACAAAAGTCAAAATTCAAACTAGCCCTAGTGGCACGTTCTCCACTGCCTTTGGTGCTACCCTCGCAGAAACGAGCAAGACCAAGGTTGAGACCCCTACCCTTTCAGCTCCCTTGTTCCCCTCTGGTCCCGTCAGGTTAGAATGAGTGTCTTCTTTTCCGATTGTACTGCTCATAACTTTGTCTTACAGATCCCTTACACCATGGCCAAGTTCTTCTTTGAGAAGATGGTCCAGGTCTTCTACACTTAGGTTTTCACCGAGCTCAAGAAGTCCTATGCCAATACCACTCAACTTGGAATCACTTTCGCTTCTGGTTACCTTGCTGGTGCTGGCTGCGCTATTATCTTCCACCCACCTGACTCCATCATCTCCCTCATGGGTAAGCCTGCAAACAAGGGCGAGAGCATTGTCACGATCGCATCAGAAACTTGTTTTGCCGCACTTGCAACCAAGGGTCTCGGGACCCAAGTATTGATGATCAGTACTCTTACCGGTACGTGCACATCGTACTCTTTTCAAAATAGTTGACAAACACATTAATCAATCCTTTCAATGGTGGATCTACAACTCATCCAGGGCGTCAATGGGTCTCGTCACCACTGGTGACAAGTAAACTGCTCCCCTGTCTGCATTGGTAGTGTCTGCGCTGATAGTCAGTGCCCATATCCACTTTCTGATTCACTTGTCTGACCATCGTGTAGGAGCAGATTGTTTCTGGCAGTATGCAGTTAGTTTATGTTCATTCCGTTGTGATCTGTATTGCTATCTATATGCCCCATACAGTTCGTCTCCTTACCATGCAATATATCACGATCATCTTACGATAATACCACTACATCCTCTTCAGAGGTCTGCACCTCAGGGTAATTTTTGAGCAAGCTTATAAACGCAGAACCAAACATGATGCCATCCATCCAAATATGGGATGTCGGATGATGCCGGCGGAGTTTGATTACAAGTCAGTCAGTATATCAAATGCTGTTCCTCCGAATTGTTCTTACTTTCGCTCTTCCACTTATTTAAAACAGCCCTATGATACTATATTTTGGGGTGATGGAGTACTTACGCTCTCACTATGATAGTCACATGTAGTATTCAATAAAAATGCAGCATGGTAATTGGTCTCAGGCATTAAGTCAGAAAATCTGATGCTGAACACGTCATAATTTATTAATGTAATATATAACTTTGAATGGCTCCCATGAGGAAAACATACATGTCGAATTGTTGGTGATATTTTCAGCCTACCGCGGTCAAAACATATCTAACGAAACACATGTTTTTCAGGTAATCTTTTATTTACATCAGATATGCTCTGCGTTGTCGCGCTCTTCCCATTTTTAAGCTCCATCTTCTAAATCCCATTCCAAAAATTCTGGAGAGAGGCCAGGAGAAGGGGCACCCTCGGCAATTTGAGGGACGATCGGCAGGCAAACATCCGAAGGCATGTGACGCTCGAGGTTATCAGCGCGGTAGTATTCCTCAAGCCATCTATACCTGTACGTCATCATCTTGTCGGAAAGGTACACAACGGTATCTTCAGCTGTGCTTAATTTTTGCTTGACTTGATCCAGCTCAGATTCTACTTCGCTAATAGATCAGTTGTCCATAACTAGGTGAATATTTTTTAAGTCTTGTCTTGCAAGTTCTAACAATCTTACCTGCAGTCTGTGTTCCTCTATCGACCAATCAATTGTTCAGATGGAATTTCCTGCAAGGTGAGTTTTATGAGTTTCTTTAGGATACATAATCACTCACCTGCAATCAGTGCCGATTTGAGGGTCGTCCACATCACAGTTGCTCATTGCACACACCGAGGGAAATTGAAACCTTAAGGTAAATGAGCTTGTGTTGACCGTGTGCTCAGATTGATTGAAGAAAACTTACCTTAGCGTAACGTCATTTGCAACATGGATGCATCATGGTAAACGCTCCCGAGAAGGTGAGTCGGGTGTTCGATATTCAACAGCTATATTGATGGGCATCATGATGCTGATAGTTACCACAACAGCCGATTTATGCATGGACGTGTGGATAGCGCTGTGGCTGACGTAATGTGCTGCACAGTATCGCTGACCGGTTGGCGCTACAACAGTGTTACGATATCAATAGCGGTGGATGTTGGGGGTAATAGCGTGTTTGAACTGGGGGTATATAAAGGTCTCATGTACTCCACGTATCTCAACTGCTTGCTTACTTTAACTTGTCATGACTGATGACGAAAATCAAGCTAGCGATCCTTCACGCAAGCGTTGTGGTTCCGTGCTCCATTCGGGTCCGCGCAAAAAAGGGCAAGTCATATTTCACTTGGTTCACAGTACCTTCCTCATTGTCTTGCACAGGACTTCATCTAACCCCCTTGCTCTTCACAGCCGGCATTTTGGTCAGACAGTGTTTGCCCTGTGCAATTATCCTGCTCTTCTGACTGCCGGTATACTGCAACTTGAGGACTTACAGGACTCTCCCATCGAAGATTATCCAGCGGAGTGAGTGCATTTTATCAATTATCTGTTGCAGGACTTGAGATTTTTTTGATGGAGCGTTCGACGCGAACATAGGGTGTTCATGGAATTAATAGATTCTTACCCTGGTCTTTTAGCTCGTTTAACGGACGGTGATGAGGAGGATATTATTCACGTGGGAGAACTGGTAAGTTTTTATTCTGCAATATCATAGTACTCATTGTTTGCAGCTAGGTAAAGGAGCCTCTGGTGCGCGAGGGGACGACACAAAGACCCTAAAATCTGCTGTCCTCGAGTGGCTTGTGCCCAGAGGACAGCCACTCATACCGCCCCTCTCCCGAAATATGAAGTCGGACCGTGGGTTCAACCATGAAGTAACCGGCAGATTGCTCTGCCCCGCGGGCCTTGACTGGTCAAACGCAGAGTAAGTCCTTGTCACCATCATATCGACTAACCATCATAACCCTACCCAGAACCAAGCAGAGTCTGAAGAGCGGTGAAATTGCCATCCGTGGTGATCAATGGCCCATATTCTTATATTCTGGATACAAGTATGATCCTGATGATCCATGGAAGGGTTTACTCAAAAGTGAGATACTAATTTTTGTAAGTTTTGATTCATTGCCAGTAAATTTCATACTCTAAGCAATATACAGGGCTTTAAACACGTCTTTACGTCTCCGAGCTCGGTGGATAGGGAGCCGAAGGCTACGCGCTCCGGTAATGCTTACTTGCATGGTATGAAATCTGTGACTAAAGGTTCTCTAGCTTATATTGCTACCCAGGTACATAGATTCCATTATGCATGCCTTCCCCTGCTGATTGCTCCTTCAGATTCGGTTTTCCTTAAGTTTGTCGTCAGTGTTTTCACGTACCAACACAGTTATGGACTCGGAAAATTTTTATCATAGTATTCTTGACTTACTAGAGGATCCTGATGAGATTGAGGAAGTTACTGACTTGATGACATGGTGGACGAGGTTCATAATGCATCTCGTCAGCTCCAATCTCTACATTTACACCTTTCATAGTCGTGTGTTTCCTAATTCTTCTTCACAGCGCACTATAAGCAAAAACAGTGCACTGTTCAAGATTCGAGCCAAACATGCTGCCTTGCTAGCCACTACTGGCACCAATTAGTCATTGTTTTTATAACTGTACTGTATTCTAATACAATTGATGTTGGCTTTCTATATGAAGCTATATGTAACTTGCTTTGGCGAAATAACCGAATGTCAGAAGCTTTTTTTATAACATTGATAATGGTTTCTGGCATCAGAAGCTGCCCCTGTAATGGTAGATATTCTCTGCTGACTGAGGCCACCTTGTCATGGCTTGATAATGTAATGTCAGAGCTCAATTTGCAGTCAGGAATGGTGGCTTCCCCCACTGCAACCTGCCCCTATAATGGTAGATATTCTCTGCTGACTGAAGCCACCTTGTCATGGCTTGATAATGTGGTGTCAGTGCTCAACTCGCAGTCAGTGCTTGCCCCATCAGAAACCACCCATATAACATTGGTTATATCTGATAGATTTTCAACAGCTTGCTGTAGCATGATAACTCAGTATCATATGCTGGCACATTGTTAGTGATTGTAGATTATATCATTAGAAGCTGACTATACAAGGCTAGACATATTAGGTGCACCTTACTACAAGATGATAACCTGTTATTGTGCACTAGCACACTGTCAGTGATATGATAATTTAATATCATACTGCAGCACATTGAAATTGATGGTGGCTTCCACAGTTAGAATCTACCTATTTAAAGTTAGACATCCTCAGTAAAGAATGAGCAACTTGATAGGGCAATGATAACTCAATACCAAGCCCTGACACTTTTTCATCAATGGTAGCTTCCAACATTGAAAGCTGCCTATCTAAAGCTAGATACACTCAGTAGTTGGGCAGCATCTTGAATAAGCATAATAATTCAATATAATTCAGTATCACCCCCTGGCATAGTGTTAGTGATTATATACCCTACCATTGCAAGCTACCCCTGTAATTGCAGGCATGGTTGATAGTACATTGACATCTTGATATGACACGATAATCCAATACCATCCCATACCACACTGTCATTGATGGCAACATCTGTAATCAGAAGCTGCCTATCTAAAACCAGATATATCTAGTTGAAGACCAGCATCTTGATAAGTTATTATAGGCCAATATCATTTCCAGGCACATTATCAGTGATTAGACATCCTCCCATTGGAAGCTAGCAATACAATGATAGATACATCTGCCAATAACATACAGTGGCTCAAAAAAGTGTCCCAATGTTTGTAGCTTTTCACGTAATTGCTATATCATGAGTCAAGACGTGGAAATATGACTAAGCTATAGGAAGATGTCGGAAAGGTCTGCTTCTCAGCTTCATTTCGGTTCCCTATGCCGTGGGAAAGTAATGACATTATGTGAAGATATGAGTATTTTAATTTGATGACTCATTGGGACACTTTTTTGACTTTGAGTTTAACTAATGTAATCTCTATAATTCTAGTACTATGTGTGACCTCCTTCTGCCCCAATCACTTCTGCCACTCTTCTAGACATATTGTCTATCAATTTTGGGTATTCCTCTTTGGTGATTCCATCATACTCTGCTGTAACACTGTCTCATAGTTGGAATAACCCCTATGGTGAATCTTGATATGCTATAAGTAATTTCTTGAGTGATTCTCAGAGGTATTCAATAGGGTTGATGTCTTGGGTCTATGTTGAACATGATAGAATAGTAATATTATGGTCTTTAAGTTATTTGGTAGCCAATCTAGAAGGTTGCTCTATAAGACTTAAGATCTCTTAATCACTATATTCTAATTTAAAAGGCTGCTGATGTTAATAAAGTGACTAAATTGATTATTTCCATCATTCCTATGACTATCTCTACTCAAATAGTCAGACAGACTCTCAAGACAGCCCATCTTAAAGCTATAATCAAGAAAAACAGATTCTTCTGTCTCCAACCTATAAAAAGAAAAGACAAGATGCTACTTTCAAGTACAAATATTAGACTTCTGATAGCCGAAAGAGGTTTATCTAGTTAGATATGGTTAAAATCAATAGGATGAGATCATATGGCAAGGAATTTGTATTAAAATAGATAGGACAATCATTAAGATAAAGAAAAGTTAAATAAACACCTTAAGTTTCAAGATGAAAACTTGATGGTATAGGACTATATGAGATAAAATGGAATGGGAATTTTCTATGAAGCAAAGGGGAGTATGAATACAGAGTAGTAAATACTCATTTGACAGGAATGTCTGCTAAGAAGCATGCAGGAGTTATAAGTTAATGAAGAAGATACTGTTTTGTGATAAGACAATGACCCTAAGTATACCTCTAAATCAGCCACCAATAGCCTGCAGACCATGATATTACTATTCTATCATGTTCAACATAGACCCAAGACATCAACCCTATTGAATACCTCTGAGAATCACTCAAGAAATTACTTATAGCATATCAAGATTCACCATAGGGGTTATTCCAACTATGAGACAGTGTTACAGCAGAGTATGATGGAATCACCAAAGAGGAATACCCAAAATTGATAGACAATATGTCTAGAAGAGTGGCAGAAGTGATTGGGGCAGAAGGAGGTCACACATAGTACTAGAATTATAGAGATTACATTAGTTAAACTCAAAGTCAAAAAAGTGTCCCAATGAGTCATCAAATTAAAATACTCATATCTTCACATAATGTCATTACTTTCCCACGGCATAGGGAACCGAAATGAAGCTGAGAAGCAGACCTTTCCGACATCTTCCTATAGCTTAGTCATATTTCCACGTCTTGACTCATGATATAGCAATTATGTGAAAAGCTACAAACATTGGGACACTTTTTTGAGCCACTGTACCATAGACCTGTCAATATTGTAGCTTTGGGAGATCCCACAAATATAGTCTGCCTATCTAAAACCAGACATATCTAGTTGAAGACCAGCATCTTGATAAGGTATTATAAGCCAACATCATTTCTGAGCACACTGTCAGTGATTAGACATCTTCCCATTGGAAGTTAGCGATACAATGATAGATACATCTGCCAATAACATACCATAGACCTGTCAATATTGTAGCTTTGGGAGATCCCACAAATATAGTCTGCCTATCTATTCCTTTATCATATGATCTACAATTATGATACATGTTATTGATATTATACATTAAATAAAGCTAGCTAAATCTTTGTCAAACACAAGTCAGATACCTGATGGATGGACTTGTGGTACCACAGACTGGCAAAGCCAGAGGTAAGGATGAATTCGAACGTTAGAACATCGATCCCCATCGTGGTAATGAACGCACGATCACTGCGACTTGCATACAGCACTTGCCACAGGGTATTTCGATGTGGGTCAGGAAATAAGTGGGCACGACAAAGGTACAGTCGCTTAGGGTTCCGGGTTTCGACACGATCAAGTCGAGCTAGCTCTATTCCAGCGACGAGGGTAGCTGCTAGCATCCTCGCGTCTTCTTCGTCGTCGAGAAAACCCGTCTCTTCTCCGTCGTTCACCAGATTGTGGTACTGTAGTAGCAGGTCGTCCATTGCAGTTTTGACCGAATTATTTTAATCCAGATGCGTTACGGTTGTGTTTTCTGTACATATTAAATTTTGCTAATATCTTTCAAAGTCCGTTATAATCTATTCTAGTGTACGGTCAAATAGAGGGGTGTAAATTTACAGGCGTAAATTTACACCTGTAAATTAGCGTTAATCAGCATGTGAATCTCGAAGGGCATTTTGGGGGTGTAAATTTGGGTGAATTTGGAGTTTGCCAATCCGATGGGCGTCTCCGTGGTGGTGAATCTGTGAATCTCGCAAAGTATCTGCACTAGGGCTAGGGCATAACATTCGCAACCATGAATTGTGAAACGAGAAATAAGCTACAGTTACTATCTCTTTATCTTCAAAATCTCCCCGAAACCATTCCTTTGATTCTAATGTGAGTAACATTTTTTCGCGTGTTAAGTTCTCAGTCTCATACTGACTACACAGAAACTAAAAACACCATACAAACCTCTCGTCAAGTGGCATGATATGGAATCCACTATCCTTGGCAAGCGGTCCACTGAAGATTTGCCTCCCGCTGGTCGAATGCCTCCTCCACCTGAAGCAGGGACAGTGGACTCGGAGTCGGAGTCGGAGTCGGAGTCGGACTCAGCAGAGTTTGACAATGGCGCAGATTGGTTGGATGGTCCAGCTGCTCTTTCAGAGTTTAGAACAGTGGAGAAAGATTTGTTCGTGCTTGCGGCATCCAGCGGTATTGATTTGTGTGCACCAGTCGGGTTCTGCACCAACAAAGAAGGCCGCAAAAACCTTGTCTCGTCCGTCCCTGACCCTTCTGCTTGGGACGAGTGGAAAGTTGAATAACTCACCTAATTCACTGTAATTCACAGTACATTTGACCTGATTCACCTGTAAAATAGCGTTAATTTACAGACATGTTAATCTACGGTAATTCACAGTGGTGAATTTGAAGGCCTCTGGACGCACTGTAAATTTACCCTGTGAATTTCGGACAGTTCCAAATTGACCGTACACTAATCTATTCCGCATTATTTTGCCTACGGATAGTCACCCATTTCCGACACAGCTCCACTATGATCGCAAAACATTTAAGCGCTTTGATGGCCCCCTTCCGGCTCTCTGCGCTGGCTTTGTCACCTGTAGTACTACCAGCACAGAGCCGTCTCATTTTCTGTCCTCGTTCTCGTGCTAAGACCGGTCATTGGATCTGTATTTCGCATTCAAGAATGCCTTTTGTTTCTGCAGTCAGCCGGCTCTCAAATCATCAGTCCTTTCCAAAATGAAGACAAGATAACGGCGGAAGAAAAGAGGCTTGCTACACACGTACAATTTTGAAACCACATGATGGTCAGTTCCTCATGAATTTGTAGAGCCGCGGACAGAACCCTCCTAGGCAAATCTAGAACTTGGACTTAAAGAGGACCAGGCACTCACGAGGGCTTCGGAGGGTAGCCTACCCATCAGGTCTAGGCTGTAGTGATGGAGTTGCAGAGTTTGAATGTATAATGGTGTCATCTTGCGACACTGGTGTGCATATGTGCTAGGCAACGAAACACAGTGTACGAAGTCTGGGCTTAGTCTGAGTCATGTGTAGATGAAGGTAAGTCGTCACTCTTGTCTATCACTCTCTTACATTTTTGGTTTCAGCAAAGTCTTTAGTACTACAGTAAAGTCCCTAAGCTAGCGGAGAGGGAGAGTCTGTCTGTCTAGGCCTGGGGCGGGTAGGGCGCAGAAAATGCAGATCCATTGTCCCAGATCTGCTGTCACTTAGGTTTCATGACGGTTCTATGCAAGAAGATGTGGGACATCCCGGGCCACCATCAGCCCATCTTCCTGGTCATGAGTCACCCTTCTTTGGTGCTCGTACCTCCCACTTTAGAAGGAACATAGGCTCAGCCTGAGCGATGTGTAGATGAAAGTCAGTCGTAGCCCTTGTCAATAACCTCCTGATAGCTTCAATATATGTCTTCGAAGGTCTCGTGCACGCTTCGACAATATCATGTTACCTGTTCCTTTTGCACAAAGATAGACGTGCCACCACCACCACCGACGAGTCACGACGGTGATACTAAGGACAGCCGGTCCAGGAGGATCGAGGCTATATCGAATGCCGGTTGTTATTTGTACACACCTGTCAGACGAGGTTGCTGACTTTGTGCATCTTCGAAGCTTCAGGTGCCGGGGAATGCAGCCTGCCGGAATGTCCAGCTTGACGCAACATGTCAAATCGTCATATCTTACATCATGTCCTCGCTCGGATTGGCAGTGTTTCTTTATCCACCCCCGTTTGATTTTCAAATCGCAGTTGGTCGAGATGTTATGATCAACCTGACCAAACAACTTTCTCTCTGCATATAATGTACAGTGTTCGAATGTCTCATTTCAATCCAACCACAGCCAACAAATCATCTCTCCTGTTGAATATACAATCATGGTTTTCTACGCATATGTCAAACAGGTACCAAAATCCATTCTTCGTTGTCTGCGATGTCGTGCTAAATCGCTGCCTAGATCACGGACAACGTGACCTATCGATATGTGATTACCTTTGCTAGCCGCGAAGTTGCGGATGAGTGGTGGCGCGCCGTGTCCACTTCCGCCGTCACTAGTTTCGTTACCAGTGTTCAGCGTGTCAACGCCCAGTTCTACACTCATAACGTGAACGTGGCAAACGCCGCCAACTCCCTCACCACGACTGGGGTTGCGACTCAATTCCTCGGCAAGGTGTTTTTCACCTTGGAGAACGACCTGGGTGGTCGCGGCTTGAGCATCATCCCACGGCTCGAACATTGCGCGGACCACATCAGTGGAAACTCGTAAGTCAGTTCCTTGCGGGATGTTCTACATTTTTCTGATAGCGGCCCTACCAAAGATTTTTCATTCGCTCTAAAGTCGCTCCTTACGAGTATTGGTACCATCCCCCATCGTCTAACGCGACGAACACGGTCTATGTTTCGCGCACCGAACGCTCTCGCTTCACCGTTAGTCGCGCCGCCAGTGGTACTGCAGGGACCGTCATAATTGGCTCTGACAATGTCGTTATCACGTTAACCACCGTTGATCTGTCCGTCAACGTCAATGCCACCACTGGTCGGGTGATCCTTTCACTTGCTCCTCTGTCGGGGTTGACTTTTAGTACCCTTTTGGCCAACTTCACCGTTGGGCCTTCCTTGTCTGTGGACGGTGAGACCGCGAAAGAACTCCTCTACACGGAGAACGGGGAAGAGTGGGAACTCGCTTGAATGGCTATCATTTGAAACAAATTTGTCCTGTACTAGTACTGCTATCGTCTCCCCGTTATGCGTTCATGAAGGAAGGAAGGAATTTGTTCTCGTATTGTTGGTAACGCTAGGAAGCAATCACATTTTTTGTTGAACGCCTGCCATCACGTATGACTTTGAGATATATGAATCCTTTTAGCATCAACAGGCCTCTCTACCAACCTACGATGACAGTGTTTACAGTTACCTCTTTCGCTAATAGCCGGATGATTGATGAGTGCATCGATAAGTGTTGATCATTACGTACTATTATAATGATTGCTCTGAGCGACGTGTCTAGCCCGACCTAAACTGACGTTGATGGGTCAATCAAACTTCTGGTTGAGAACGATATCAGTGTCTGAAACAAGCAAGTACCATGTCATGTTGGCGAGGCCAGGTCCTACTAATAGCGTACCGTGACTGTTACTAGAAACACGACCTTAGTTTCGTCGTTCGACAAATTTGTCCCATGTATTAGGTGGGCGCCCGCATCTGGCCAGTAGCTGCGCTCGGGTACATATCATCCGTTGCCACATGTGTGGCTCGACGTAGAGGAGTTAGGCCACCGACCAAGTAGTTCTTCGTTGCAGTAACTTGAAAACGGCGAATCATGCACCCGAGAATGTGGCATGACTCACTGAACAAATTTGGGCACATAAAGGCCTAATTAAACACCACAACGAGTTCGCAATTAATCCTCCTGACTCCATCTGTTGTAATGCTCCATAGGACATGCATGGCTCCTCGACAGAATCCGTGTAGGTGCCCATAAAATGGATATTTGCATGTCTGGCTAGCTGTTACAACTGAATTAGCACGATCTGTCACCGCCCCGCACCCCATCACAATGGATATATCAGCTTCACGGTGTCACCCGTCCGTCTCGCCGGATGTCGAGTCATCAATGCATCACATCTACCATGTCCCGATCAAGAGCTCTGAGTCCACCAACATCAATATCCGTTTTCTGTAGTAACCAATAGGCTTGAAGAGCGCAAACAAAATCCACTTGCGCCATAGGAGTCTTCTGCCATATATAAATGTATTATCGAGGGTGAAATATGCAGATGAGAGTCTGCTAACGTGTGCAATGCAATAAGAGACTGTCGAAGTTACACGCCTGATGAACGGGTTTATGAGTAACGTTGGGCGACCTATGTATGAGCGCTTGCTCTAGCAACCCCACGAGAGCCAAAATAAGGTCGAACCTGGCCCGCCGTACCAGAAGCGCGGCTGCCCTGTAGAGTCCCAATCTCTGCGATGAAGTTGAAGTTAGGCCTGCATCTTACTGTAGCAATCCTCTGAAAGGATACGAGTGCCCGGGATCCGCCGCGTAGTACGCCACGCGACTTTCGTCTCGTTCTGTGTCATGGAGTTTGCGTCGAGCGACCAGTAACATTTTGAGGACTTGGCGGTGGGGCGGCAGGCCAGGACGATGACATAATACTGCAGGCAGGCTTTGACAAACTTCTCGGCACTTTCCGGACAACCACCAGATTTGTCCCCCAGACTTCAACACGCAGTCTGTGACTTGTCTATATAAACCTCACGCAGACTGGCCAAATTACGCACTTTCTAAGGACTTGAATCGCCGCGTGATCAGTCAGAGACTCGACTGTCACTTATTTGAGCAAAACCTACTGCTGCCATGACCAGGGCCCAGGGGCAATGCCAGAATCGATACATATGGATGTGCTTTCGCATGGCCCAACATGGCCTTACTAGTACTGCCTCACCAAGAATGGCATCGACAGGAAATGCGCTGAAATCATCTCACGAGTCATCACGCTACTTCCACCGCAACTACCATCCAAATTCATAACAATGGGACCAGCGAATATCAACGCAGCGACGGTCAGTGACTTTTTAGGAGACTGGGTCCGTGAGGACTTACATGGACGACTAGAGGGACAAGAAGTCTAAGAATGACAGGATCGTACCAGAGACTCCTCAAACAGCTGGCAAGAAAGATGGAGCTGACAAGAAAGACGAAAAGAAGACTGCACCACCTCAGAAGGTTGACCCTCAGAAATATGCGAAAGCTTCAAGGTGCGCTGAGACCCTTATCTTACGGGATCAACGATCTCACCCGGATGAAGATGAATGTGATAATTCAGAATTTACTTCGTGCGGAGGAGCGGTATAACACCGTACTTAAATCGAAGTGGCACAAGGACAATCGGAGAGTCGAGACACGCCGAGCGCTGCCAGTAATGGTCAGCGGGACGATTCTATGAGCCTCGGATCGAGTCAGAGCTGACTGAGTGACCGAATATTACAATTACAATTACATAAGCCTGTTTTACAATTTCACTCTATAGTAGTACCTTGTTTGAGCGTCGGCCATCGTGCTTAAAAACAATCATTAATCATTAATCAGTCCTATATCATATCTATGTTATCTACACTGCAGTTTGTAGATCATCATCACCCTCAAGGGCACTGCGCATCTGTACCACCTCATCAATCTTCAGCGACATAGACATCTTGACATTAAGAATATGATGACTCCGCGCCAGACCTGGGCTGAGGCGTCAAGAACATCTCTGGTTATCAAATTTGTCAAATGCCAGGGGCTCATGAGGGAATTTTCGAGGCACAGCTGTGAAGCGCGAGTCGCGGTACCAGAGACCGAGGGTAACGATCAGTGTTTTGAAGGTGGTGAGAATACTGAATCAAATTTTAGACCTTTCAATACCTCGAAGTCTTACTCAATTATACAACGAACGTACGTACATAACCTACAAGTCGTCAAGTATGCTGCCAGCTATTCGGATAACGCTAGTCGTTCACGAAGCCAACTGAACACATGATAGTCTCTCGTACTCCAAATCGGCCACAAGATGAGCAGGATGATGATCAACAAACCACAACCAACTATTCCTCGAAGTATGTCGGAGGTAGATTTAAACACCAGGGAGGAAAATGCGATGAGGAAGAATATCATCCTGGCTCGAGGTTAGTCTGAGTATCAGCAGGCATAACCGAGTGGAGAGTACTTACCCCCACATAAGCAGTGCGAACGGAAGACCGTGTAAGATTGCGAGGGCTTTCTCACCAAATATTGAATTTGTCATTCTGGTGAGGAACACGACCTGCACAAGGGTTATTAGTGCGAGCGCAGTCCATGGTAGAAGTATCTCATACAGCGGTATCGGCAGAGACATTGCCATATTTGCGGTTTTGTCCGGCGAGTAAAATGGACACAACTAGGGATCCAATTACACAGAACGTTGCCAGATAAGCTGCGATAATGGTAACAGATTGCGATTCGTCAGCGTTCACGCTGGGCACCGCGAGGAAAGTGAGATCCACAGTTAGCATCACCGTCGACTGTGAACGTATCGGTTTAGAACAGCAGAAATAGCGAGTAAGGTAAATGATATCGCACATAGATCGTGATAGAAACCCATTCCCTGCCGAGCTTGTCATTGAAATCTTTCCATCGAGGTGAAGTTGTATTTTTATCCACCCAGACTCTTCGCAGTTCCTTCATCTGAGCATGGGGAGCGCCGAAACACAAAAGCTCCATGATCCAAGATATTACGGACTTTACGATGTGCTCATCATCCGTGAAATATATTGACTGGTCAGCTGCCAAACGTGCACAAGATTGGCCGCAGAAGTTCAAAAATTTGGCTCGGGCTATTCCTGAATGTCAAGTCCGCAAAAAGACTGATGCAACGACCAACCATACCGAAGTATCGCATAAAACGTGCTAATATTAAAGCAGAATACGTGAGGCGAGGAAACTTGCGATTTGAAAGTGTCAAAGACGCACCAATGACGCATATGGAGTAGGGGCCACATTCCTTTGAAGTAGTTTCTGTTAAATGTTTGATCTGAGTGAACTTGGCTATATGTATGCCATACTTCTGCGCACCTTTGAGGTGATCGATTAGATCCAGTATTTTTGAGAGGTCTTCCCCTCCAAATGGTGACAAGGACGTTTCAGACGTGATGACGTCTAGGCGGAGACATGAGCAGAGTTAAATAAACGAAAATTGGAGTTATTTGACCTGCACTAGCATGCACAATGATTTCTCTGAGCTCCGCAAGAAGTCCCTTTTGTGATTCCTCCTCTCTGTTGTTGGGATAGAGCTCACAGTGCATCCTGTTTCAACAGAGTTGCTAGCTCGAACTGCAATACTAATGTGGTATGAGCATTCAATCAGTATGTTGTATCAAGATACTCACAGAATGATAACTTGGACGGTTACCAGTACTGGCTTTGGATGACATAACCTGTAGGAGGTCAATTCAATTCCTGTGCCGCACATCCTGTGTCACATCGGGCAGGTGCTCACAGATATGACTGTGTTCCTCCACCCCTCTGACTCCATTAAAAAGGTCTTCGGTATCTAATTTATGAAGCCAGAAGATGGTGCGCTCGACACGGTCAGCGAAATAATAACTGCAGACTCGTTCTCCGGTATTCGGATGCTTGCCAAGCTGCAGCGTCAGCTCGATATGAGTCAGGTCAATGTTATTGCTCTCGGCAAGAGCGCGTAGATCATCTGCACAGTTGTTCAAATCGTCGAGGAAGTCCTGCACGTTTGTATCGGTGAAGACCCTCTAATAGAATCGTCAGTGTCATGAATCACGACAGGAAGAAGAGCTGACCTTCCCCGGATGATAGAAATACAGGGCACCCTCGGGATGAACATGCGCTTCCCAATCAGTAGGCAAATGGCGTCTCAATTGCATAGCATCAGCTGAGGATCATTTACCAGAATATCTACTACTTACTTGGGGTACTGTCTAACGGCAGGGTGGATACTTTCTATCCCGCTAGAAGGCTCACTATACGGTGCACATTCCTAAACAAGCTGCTGCCGCATGATGAGCATCAAGAATAACTTACATTTTTATGTCCTTTCCGTATCTTTGAACAGATGAAGCTATAAAGGGAACTTTACGGCGGCAATGAATATTTGGTACGACTGGTGGTGCACTGTGTTGGTGCGACTGCGACTGAAGATTGATCATTCCTGACTGTGCCAAGGGAGACATAGCAACAGGTGCCAAACTGCATGCAATATTATCTGTAACAAAACTTTATGAGCCGTACAAGGAGAATCTGGTTGACTACCAACAAACAACGTACTGGATGCGTTGGCAGGTACTGTTGGAATACCCCGGAGACTGATCGCAGCGACTCCCGCCGAGGCATCTGATTGAATACTAAAACCACTGTCAGCTGGTCGGTAAATACTTAGAAATGAAGATATAGGATTCCGGGAAAAGCAGGAATGTGGGACATTCAACAGACCGCCAAACAGGCGCCGGAAAAGGGTGAGGGATGGGGAAAAGAGTCCATTCGAGAGTACCTTGAGATATTTCCACAGCGTGGAAAACCCAAGGAAGGCCTGACGGTGGAGGTAAACCATCTCCCTAGATCCTGCTGTATGTCGATTGTTGATATCACTGAGATTACTGCCAGGGCCCGGGCAGGAGTTCATGGTACCTGTTATAAGTCAGACCTTACTCGGTTCTTTTGACTTACCTCAAACCCTGAACAAACAAAGTTCCGGAAAACGCCCTCACGACTCACTTACAGTTTGCAAAAGACCCTAGATTCTACATCAGCAAAAGCGCTGAAATGAACAGGTGTCCAATATATATAGATAAGGAAGGAACGTTTGATCCTGCGGAAGCAATTCGTGTGTGCTCGGTCAAGCGCCGTGCGCTCTTATGTCATTCTGAGTTCCAGACTTGGTTTGTTCCCGCGGGAGTAATTCGCGTGACTCCTATGTACATGCGTGCTCCAGTATTTATTATAATCATCCCGGAACCGAAGCTGGCGCTGTGGTAAATAGTCGTCTTCTACTAGTATGATCGAATACAAACACGCTAACAGTCATCAAGACCGAAAACGTAGTTGAGAATGAAAACTGAAGAAAAGAAAGAGCGATCGGCTGAAGACTAATAGCATAGTCCTTAAACATTGGAAGGGGCTGTAATGAGGGGAGGGAGGCGAATGAACGAGAACGTTGTTTGTTGAGTCCAGAAGAGCGAGAGGGCGCCGTAGTATGCACCGAAGGAAGCGATGATGCCAAGGGCACCACCTGCAGTTGCAAAGTGTGGGTTGCCTACGTATCGCGAGTCAGATAGAACATAATACTAGAAGGGAGAAGACGCACCGGTGAAAGCATTTATGGAAAGACAAGTGAGCGCGCAAATGGTGAATCCGAGCGTTACAACGATGGGGGCGGTTGTACGGATTGCACCAAGGCTGTAATATTATTAAGGATGTGCCTGTACAGCATACTTCCTCGGACTCACAAGAAGAGGAACGTAATCAAGTCCCAGATGGCGAGGTAGATCCCGATGGCGTTGTAGAATTCCTGTCCGACAACCCCGTCAACGGTGTATGCAGCCCTGAAAGCTATGTGAGAGAGGACATGCAACAATGCTTGCAAACGACATACGCGAGGCCGATTTGAGGCAGGTAGAGAGCACCAAAAGATAAATTAAAACCTCCGTAGGTAGTAAAGACTGTTGCACTGAACGTGTTACTGTGGAAAAATCTTAGTGGTAGCTCTCCATCCAAAGGTTAGAACCATACCCAAGGAACATCTCCCACATGCCCACAAGCGTTTGTGAGATGCCACCGTAGCTGGAAATGACTAGGTTACAATCAAATCATTTGCGAGTAACAAAAACTGACAAGGTTGCGAAAACCAAGACCAAGTTAGGTTGACCAACGCTCTTGGAGGCGAGCGTCAATATTGAAGAGCACAGGAAGACGGTACCGTAGGCCATCATGCCCAAGGGTGCCTAAAAGCCAATTACATGCTGTTGACATAGTAGCAGTAAAACATGAAAGACATACAGGGTTACCATACGTCCTCTGGAATGGCTGCATCTGTGGTGCAGGGGGTGGTGGGGCGTCCATGTTGACGGTTTGGACGTAGTAGTTGTCCCTTGGGTTCTCTTTTTCAGCAACAGACATGACTGGATGACCGGTATCGACTTGTGGTGCTATGATCCTTCAGAGAGCGGGGATGAGGTCAGTTGTACACGTCTACTTCAGTCCTTTATACCACTAGTAGGGCTGATGTATCTCCGCTAACGCATGGAACGCGGTGCCAATTGTACGCATGCACTCTGCTGCAGTGAATAGCGTGATTGATATCTAATCTGAGTGAGGGAGTTAACCTTGTTACTATAGAATTCGAAGACGGGTGACCCTGGCTTCCAGGAACTGATTCAAAAGATGTACATACTGTTCACTTCTCACTCACTATCAACTACTCCCGATTATCTCGGACAGGGCTCCGACGAAGTCTAAACTGGAAAAAACAATCGCGGAATATGGTTTTGGTTATTTTAATTTGGTCGTTGCAGCTCGTGCAGGCTATGCCAAGAGTATCTGTCCAGTTAGTCATTTTGATGGAAGGAACAGCTTCTCAGGCTAGTATTGGTTTACCTTGCAAGGGTGAGTCACGACTCGGTGATTTACATGAAATGAAAAGCCTGTATCAGGACTCCTCTATGAGGAATACATCATGATTGTGTCACTGCGGGTACTTCTGTATTTGTTAAGATCACAGTGTCTTGATGGTGTTGGCATATTAAAGGTAGAAAGTCAAAGAGACTCGGAAGTCGCCGGTATTTGCCGCAATTGGGTCTGGAGCATCCCCCACGAGTCTCGAGTCCCAGGCGATAACGAGTTGCCTTGATCCTGACTTTTTGAGGTCACGGTTGCATCTGGAGTTGCGCATAGTCCGCAACCATAATCATCATCCTTCATAATGGAGATTTTTAGGCTGTCGTTTACCCTTGATCTTCCGAGTCATGAAGTTTAAATCATGCTGTTTTCTTGTCCATTCGGTGGAAGCCTAGAAGAAGTTCGTTCCTTCAAACTTGACCAAGCTGCTGGTGAGTATTCTAAGTTTGATGTCTTATCTTGGTTTTCTGGAGGGATTCACACACCCACAGTGAACACTGAACATGCAAGTTCTCGGCAGGTAGCAAGAGGTATCAGAAGACCAAAGGTATGGAATTTTGCTCGACATTACATGACTACGCAAACTTACCAGCCCACACTACGCATGTCGCACATTTGCGTATCTGGGTCTTATCGCCACATGGCTGGCCATGCGTTGGACCATCCGAAATACCATACATTGAATTTGATCAGCCCTTCACACATTCACCTGGCGTTCAAGTCCATCGCACGTGGTTGATGGTTACTTCCTTATCAGATTAAAATTTGGATGGCAAGACACAGACAATTGAAGTACCAGATCGCTGGTTAAATTTGCAACGGCGGCAGTGTGCGGACAATGGATACATGTCGGGTACGTGCGAAGTTCCCGAACCCATGCTAATTGGGATGCAGAATACATGTGCTTGTGAACACAAACATAGTCCTCCTTTGTCCGCCATTCACTCTCAATGGGCTGCAAGTATGAATAGAGCATCACTCGGCGGACGAAGGTCAGGGTTGTGCGCGTTCCAGCAACAGTGACCAAGCCTGTGGCAACCCAATGGTTTCAAGAAGATTTCATGTTCCGAGTCGGCCATTGCATGCGCACAGCTGGAAATACTCGTGTGCGCACACTAATACTTGGTCCGCCCAGATACTTCAATCAACACGGGAAGCAATTTTTTTTTTGTTCCCAAGGCAATGTCAGTTTCGGATCAGGAATATTGGCGCATCTTAGACTTGCATTTTTTGCAAACGAAGGCACCGTCTTCTATGCGTGCATCTTGACACACGATACTGGAGACTGCTAGATGCCGGTAACGTGCTTGATGATTAGAGCGAGAGATAACGCAAGCAGTGAAATGACAGACATGTTTAAAATGCAATGGTCGAAAGGTTTTTCATGTTATGTCCTTCCAGTATGAATTATGTAAGTTTTCATGAAGCTGAGGACTAGGTATGATTCAGATATCAGCGAGAGATCAGAAAGTATGAGTAGTAACTTGAATATACTCGTCACGACATTCATTCCCCCAGCGAGCAGTATACAACTACCGAAATTATCTCCCCATGATTCCACCGTCGCGGGCGTCAAGTTACGTACATCGGACAGCCTAAGTAGCAAGAATATCGCACGTTGAATTCAACTTCCGCGGTTCCGAGTCTACAACTTGGTACGTTGGAGTTCCCCAGAACTCCAATTACCCCAAACGATTTCTTCAACCATGGCCTCAGTTCTTCGGTTATACAAGTCGGTGGCTTCAACTCATCCATTCTTAGTTTTGTTTGCTCAAGTATCTCAGTGCCGCTCTCATCCGAAGACCCGTATTGGCACAGTCCGCCACTGCTGCCGTTTTATTTGGCGCAGGTGATGTGATCGCGCAGCAAGTCATCGAGCGCCAGGGCAAGAATCATGATGTGAGCATTGGTGTGACTACAGAAGGAACTAGTTTTGATCAAATCTGCGCAGTTCATGCGCACTGCACGCCTCACTTTTTATGGAGGTAAGATGAACCAAGTGCGGGCGGGATTAGCCTAATCCATGCCTAATTTTATCAGGAGCGTTCTTTGGGCCAGCCTTGACAAAATGGTATCAACTTCTGAACCGCATCAAGTTCTCCAGTCCTACGAAGGCTGTGGTATATCGTGTATGGGATGTACTATTTCTTCGGATTTCATGAGGAATGATCGCCTTTTTGCAGGTCTGGCTGGACCAGGCGGTCCTGACTCCTGGTTTGTTGACTACACGTGGATCTACTCGTCTTTCTCACTCTTCGCTTTCTTCTAGTGGTTGTCGGTTTCTTTTTCGGCACAATGAGTATCATGGAGGGAAAGGGTATCTCTGGTGCAAAGGAACGCATTAGTACTGTAAGCCAATCCCCCCTGGAATCTGGTAACCATCTCACGTGTCTCCCAGGCGTATGCCCCAACATTGATTCGTAACTGGTAATATTTGCGTTGTTGCCTACGCATCATGCACTGAAATAGATCTAGGGGCGTCTTCATTCCCACCCAAATCATCAACTTCGCTATCGTACCGCATCACCTCCGCTTTGTTGTCGTGAGCGTTGTCAGCTTGTTTTGGAGTAAGTTTTGAGTTTATCGAAAGCCCTTTCATCTTGATCATTGCCTTTTAGACACGTACCTCAGCGCTGTCAATGCCAGTTCACAGCACCAGGAAGTATTCGAATCAGGCAAAAGCACCGAGAAGTAGCACGATCGTACTCGTGCGCCTCCCACCAGCATGTATATATCAACTAGACCATCGGTACTGCCATCCCACATAGAGTTCTTTTGTTCTTTTTGCTGAAGTGTTCAAAATGCCTACTGAAGTCTAAGGTGGATAAGCATAGTGAATGACTCGAGTATTGGCACTGCACACACATGCACATTATCATCCTCCCTTGTTCTTAGGATGGATCAAGCGGGAGTATGTGCATGATGCGATATAGCTTCCGGGACGCGCTTTGTTCGAAATCAGACATTTCAGGCACAGCGAGCTGTCCTGACAAGATCCGCGCCTATCCGCGCTCGCTCCTCCAGTGTCATTCACCACCAATCGAAATGTCATTCAGTCTCTAAACTACTTCCGCTCTATAGTGAGGCCAGCCTGACTGCAGGGTTCACTTGAAATCTGTAATCGAGATTTTTCTGCACAGTACTGCGATTCAATTTGGTGGCCAGATCAAAGTGCCAACCCACAGTGGGATCATAACCTGCGCTTCTGCTCTAAGGAACCTGTAAGCAACTATTCCCAAAGGTGTACATATGCGCAAGTAGGCGCCCAGGCCCTGATGCGACTGGGAAATTTCTCACGTGGAAGCGCCGCTACGTTGGCGTTCCTTTTCCTTTCTGAAGTTGGGGTGTAGCAAGTGGAGAGCCGATATATATATATGTCAAGGACTTGCTGGTGAGTACTCCCGGTGGTTGTTCTTCGGTGCTACTTTCTGACATGACTTCGAGCATTAGTCAAGAATGTAGAAGGACGGAGACCCGGCACACCGTCGATTTTGGCAGCGGAACATATCCGAGTCAACACGGAAACATCACGATCCATCATCAGGGAGCAGACGGTCGCATTTCCATCCTTTATACTGCATGGTGGTCCAAATCATCGTTGCACATATTGGATATTAATCGCCACAGGTTTCACAAGCTTTGGACAATCTCTTCTAGACCAGAGGCAAATCGAGCAGACTGACGAATATAATTTCCGACTTGGCTGTTAAGATCTTCGACACGACGAGTTGGAGTGGACGTAATCCAAGCTTTCACTCGAATTTCACTCTGGTTCAAGGTAAAACGGGCAGCAGGGATACGATTGTTCCATGGCGCGAGCTGCATGCGAAATGGGAAAATACTGAATGTGATATCGATGCACTTGTTCGTACGTCCAAATCACATTCGGCAGGCTTCGTATGACGGTGGATGAATGGCTTGAGTTTTGCGTTTGTGCTTTCACTGTAACCAGGTCTGTTGTGTTTTTAGCCATAATCATGCGTACCTGCTAGACTCGCAATCAACTTGTCTGTGATAGTGTATGCCAGCCTAGCCACGAGCGTCATCTGTAATCTTATATGAGTATATTTAATATGATGTAAATTGAATGCACAGACGATGTTCTATTGATACATGGGAGATTCGGCTCGTGATGACTCTGGCAAAAAAGACACATTAGAAGTGCCCTTTGCTTTGGAATTCCAGGAGGTGCAGCGTCCAGGGGAGGTCCAGGAGCATGGTATGAGTGCAAATGTCGGTGGCAGTGCGTCACATGACTCACGGCCAAATAAATAGAAAATTGAATTGGCAACCTGTAATCATCGCGCTGACCTTGTTCCTCTCATTGTCAAGGCACACCAACACCAATGACCATGTCCTCTTGATCACACAGTGTTTAGTTTGATACAAGATCATTCTCCCCCCATAGCGCTGTCAGATCAATCATACGAGTCGTATATACAAACATTCGGCTTTTCTTTGTGCGCCGTCTTGGCTCTTCACTGGTTTCAAAATTCAAACTACCTTGCGAAATACACTCGATTCTACATCTTGCCAAAATATTGGTGTACTGACTGAGTAGTATGATACAATTCGGTATCACTCTGAGACTTACATGCCCCCCTCAATGGCTGGCTACAACTGGACCCTGGTCATGGCATTCTCCACTTCAATGCAGATTCTTCCGCTAATCCTGGTCGGTGATTTCCATTCCCAGCGCTTAGTGCAATCATATCAGCGTCTAGACTCTATATCGTGCCGACAGCCGTAGCATGACCTGAACCCTCAACCTCCCTCTCAGCTGAACTCTATCCACAGTCCCCATATCATTATCCCCGTCCACGCCACTCAACCCGTCTTCGAACCTCATAAATCTGCTCCATCGTAACATCATGCCTCGTCGCTCAAAACGCCGATATATCAGACTTGAAGGCGAGTTTCTTCATATTACCTTCGGATCAATGTCATGATCCTCAACCTCTATCTACAGTCATTAGCGGAACGAGTCTTCAAGTCCCCTCCTGGCGCATTCCCGCTGGCATCTACATATCCATCAATGTCGACTCCCGGAGACGCTGGAATCGGCCGTCAGTGTCTTGTCATCTGATAAATCTGTAGTGTGGAGGAATACTGTAACTCTGTAAAGTTCATGCAGACTTTCTGACGCGATGCGAGAACTGATTATCTGTTTATAGATCATCACACTCCTCACCTGCATTGTCAGTGGAGATCAGGGCAACCTTTGAGCTTGGTCGAATGCTAGGGGGTGGAGAGGTCATCGGAGCACTTCAAATGTCGTGGGATGAGCTACTCAATCATGGAGATGAGCCATTCGGTGAGTGATTCGCTTCTCATTTATGCAGTTGTACTAACGTCCCGTAGATTTGTCCTTCCCACGCGTGCGCGGTGTCCACCCTTCCGTCAAGCTGAAGGCCGCCGTTGTACATGCTTGCGACCATCAGGACGACGTACTGTTTGATGCGAGTGACGTTTTTCTCTGTTCCGTCGACTTTTAACTGATAGATTACCAACTGTAGTCCCTTGCAGACGGCGAAATTGCTCGAGACACAGATGCGGGCCACGCGCAATTTGCCAAATACGTGAGACGCAAGACGGTCTCTCACCTGAGCGATGCTGTAGACCATTTTCAGTTGGTTCTGGACCGGTGTTCGGTCAGCCATCCAGACCATGCAACGGCTCTCACCAACCTCGCGTGGGCCCGCCTTCAAGGCTACATTCGAGATGATCTTCAGACATCGATGCATTACTTCCCTCTTCCGCGATACCCTCGCATTGCGTCCGCAGCATCATCCCGATCATCTCTTATCTCTATACAATCTCATCCAAGCGCTGACTTGGCACCACAACAAGAAAAGTACTGCTGCCGACATCCGGGAAGCTGCCAACTCTACCATGAACTACTGCCTCTCTGTCCAGAGGGCACGTACCTTCGTATCATTGCAGCAGGGAAAAATGGTGTCGATCGTGTGATCGGCGGATGCAACAACCTTCCAACAGACGCATCCGATGAAGGCATCCACCTTCGAAGAGTCGTCCTCGAGCTCTGTCCTCTGGGGCCATCAACTCCGTCCCAGATCCCTTGAGGAGCTTGCACAAGCAGTTGAAAACACGCTTTGATCAGCATGGTAGCATCGATGATCTTGACATGAGCATACAACTTGGTCGTGAAGCTGTGTCTCTGTGTCCAGAGGGACATGCTGACCGCGATCACTACCTGGACAACTTGGCCTTTTCACTCTCGTCCCGCTTTGATCATCAAGGCAAAGCTAATGACCTTGATGAGGCCATCTTTTGGCACGAAGAAGCGCTGTGCTTGCGCCCTGTTGGACACAATTTTCGTGATTACTCATTGGATAACCTAGGGGACTGCCCTCGTCGCCCGTTTCAACACACGCAGCGACATTGATGACATCACCCGAGCTATCAGCCTCCATCGCGAGGCATTAACGTTGTGCCCACCTGGGCATCTACATCATGACACCACACTTAATAACCTTGCCCTCGCACTCCAGACTAGATATGACAAATCACATGTCAGGAGGGATCTTAATGAGGCTATTGACCAGTCTCGCGAATCCCTTCGGTTAACCCGGCTTGACCATCCAGAGCGCCACATCACTCTTTTCAATCTGAGCTCGGTACTCTGCTCTCGTTTCACGCAAACTCAGAAGATTGAAGATGTCGAGGAGGCCATTACTCTTTGCCAACAATCATTGGAGGCTTTGCATTCGCTGCACCCAGATCGACACTACTCCTATCTCAGGCTACAGGAAGCCTATATGTCTCGTTACTGCGTGCAGCACAAGCCTGGCGATCTAGCACTTGCAGTGGAGAACTTCAGACTCGCATCACGACATCCCACTCATGGCTTTCCAAACCGCATCATTCAGGCACATAAGTGGGCTGTTGCAGCAGAGCAGCATGGTGATGGATCCGCACTGGAGGCCTACTCGACATTTTTTCGAGCTTCTGGATGCTCATTTGGCAACACGATCGTCGGCAACTTCACGGCGGGAAAGCTGCCTGCTGCCTTTCATTATGCTAGATCACTGCCTGTAGATGCAGCCTCGGGTGCTATACGTCGTAATAATCTACCACGAGCAGTTGAATTGTGGAGCAGGGCCGTGGACAGCAGTGGTCGCTGGCATCTCGACTCAGGACCCCAGTCGAAGAACGAGTCAGCAAAACCGACACTGGCGCGTAATTATTTAGAGCTGAGCAAACGCGTTTCCCAATGCAGCCCAGAGTTCTGCAAACCGTCACCGACAGAGCTGCTGCTGATTGGGAAGCAACAGAGTATAGGATACTTACCAGGCAATGGGAAGCCGCGGTAGCTGAGATACGCGATCTTCCGGCGTTTCTCGCGGTTCCTGCTTCTCCACCTTCGTATGAAGACCTCCAAGTAGCAGCGCGCCAGGGCCCCGTCATTATCCTCATGCGAGCCAATACTCGGCAGCGCCATCATCGTCCCGCCGTTTAGGAGACCCCCATCAATGTCCCCTTGCCGTCCATCGGTTCTCGCAGATCTGACCAATCTCAAGGATCGCTTTAACAGGGCAATACGAGATTCATCTCGGATGAACCCAGGCGGTCCAGGACTGATCTAATAGTGCTCTCGCGGATAATATGGGACAGATCATGCTACCCATCGTCAACGTACTCGAGCACGTCCTCAAGCTAAAGCGGCCGCTCTCGAATCTGGCTGTGTCCAACTGCAGCTTTCACGTCCATTCCTCTCCACGCAGCTCACCCATTTCAAACAAAGGCGGATCGTTCTGGGAAGGAGCCATGTCTGGAGGATCTCTACATTTGCTCTTACACGCCAACACTTTCAGCTCTGATCAGATCTAGACAGTTGATGAAGAAGCGCGTGCCTCCATCCTTTGTGGCCATCGGACAGGGTCAACCGGGTGCAGGGAAAGGCAAGGCGCTCTTGGCCGTCGACAGCGAGCTCGAGCTTGTCCATAAGCTCGTCCCTGCGACAGCCAACCGCACCACTATTTCTGGCAACGCAGCCACACGAGCAGGTGCGCTCGAAGCGTTGCAGCAAAACACATGGGTGCACCTTGCTTGTCATGGGAAGCAGGACCCTAAGCAGCCTTACGATTCGCATTTTGTCATGAGAGACGAACATTTGACGCTGCTCGATATCATGGAGAGACATGTTCCGCAGGCCGAGTTCGCGTTCTTATCAGCTTGTCATACCGCCGTCGGCGATGAGGAGACGCCCGACGAAGTGATCCATCTCGCAGCTGGTATTCAGTTTTCAGGGTTCAAGAGCGTCGTTGGCACGCTGTGGGAGGTTGACGACTCTGTCGCAAAACACGTCGTCGAAGCTTTTTACGGGTATATTTGGAGATTTGAAGGATGGTGGTGTCATGGACTGTACGAAGGCGGCCTGGGCACTCAACTGTGCTACGCACGCGGTGAAGACGAAAGTACCGCTCGAACAGAGAATGGTTTTCGTTCATATCGGTGTGTAGTCCCACGTCGTATTGCTATCTGGTACATGTTATTGATCTGCGGTCTCTTTCATCCTCTTGTACCAATGACCTGATACATTCTTGCGCTCTAGCTATCTCGGTTTCGTTTACTCTGTCACGTTTTTGTCGCTCACCGAAGTTCTTATGTACTTGACTCATTTGCAACTCCGTCTGTTACTTGGGTACTTAGATAGCGGGAGTTAGGCCAGTCGAACATACCCGCGCCTTCCAGTCATATAAGGGGACCCTTCAAGTTTCACCCCTTCTGCACTATGTAACCTCAACTAACCACTGCCAATGTAGTCGAGTCAGAAGCAAATCCTGGATGGCTGCTTCGACTTGTGACCCATGTGTACTGCTTGCATCTTCGACATCAGTCCTAATATACCAATGAAGCATCCACCTAGTATGCGTTGTGTTGTGCATACGACACGGTTCTTTTTATGAGTTATCGGCCTTGCTCAATGCTCACAACGAGTTGTTGAAGGTTGTTGATCGTGAAGTCAGAAGCAGGAGTTTAGCATGGAGATGGTAAGTAAGAGTCCGTTTCTACTTTGTCCGGTATATGGCTATCCCAGCTAGCCAAAGCTATAGTGTAAATCATTGGAGTAGGGCTGTAGGGCTATTTCTAAAGAACCAATCTTTGCATCTTCCAATGCGCGTCACAGCACCAGATACCGTTTATCCACGATAAGTTGAAGGCCTCCGGGGGTCCATGCAGTCCTGTGAACCACGCGATTTCCTTTGACGACAAAATCAATACGTGAACATAACTCTTTTAAAGACCTACCGACCTTTAAAATGCCGCTTCAAATTTCAGTAACGCGCCTCGTCCGAGCTCCAGAATGCAAGTGCTAAGTGACTATACCTTGGTTGAAGGTATTGCCAAACTAGACTTCTCATGCAATCTCATGGATCAGGCGTCCGAGGATGCTCATGGATGTATCGTCCTCCTTGAATGCCCGACGTCCACCCAAACGCGACACCCAAAGCGGTTGCTGGGCTGAACAAAGAATAATACTCTCTCCCAAGCCTGACCTTGACCGCAACCAGATCGTATGGGCTATCTTCTGAGGTTGTGATCGACTCAGCAACTTCTCGTTCGAAGGTATGAGAGCCGGAAACGAGGAAATAGTCCCGCAAGGAGTACATATTCAATTCGATGGGATAAACGGTCAGGTCCACCTCTACGATGGAGCGATCGTTTTCGGAGGTTTTCACCACATCTTTATCGAGCGCCCTGATTTCGTTGACGCGTTCTTCGCATATCCAAGACTCGATCATCGCAATAACGGGCAAACTTTTGCGGATCTCGCGCACATCTTGATTGCCTTAAGTTTGATCATCAGTTAAGACTTTATAAATGCGTAGGACAAGAATCTGACCGAGAGCAGAACGCAGCATGCGGCAGTGAACACGGTGGCCGGATTCCCAAGCTTCCTTCTGGCAATATTTTGAGCAGTAACGTGTCAGCATGCACCCTGAACAACGATATGCTGTGACATCGTCTTCAGAGAAATTGAGAGAGCACTGATATTAAGGATTTTAGTTGGCGAAGAGAAGCGGACCGTTCTCGAACGCACTTTCGGGCTACAACATTGATACCGGTAGAAAGGAGCTCCCTCAGGCAGCTCGTGGAAATTGGTGAAGGTACGGGCTGCGGAGTCAACGGCTTGCCATAACTCCCATAATACAGGGTCTTGGGACGCTCGTTCTTCAAGGCCTAGCCGATCTAATCTCTGAAGGGCGGGTTGAAGAACCCGTAGCACTTTGAGAATACGAAGAACCGAGGAAGCTCTTTGAGCAGTTGAATGTCATGGTCATCCTCAAAGCGTTTGGTATTGTCAACATGTTCAGCTGGCGATGACCCAGTCCGTAGGAGACATTCGAGTAGCCCATGCTGAATGGCCTGAGATATCACCAAAGCAGAGTCATTTGCGCAATTCATTGAATACCCGATATAGCGATATGCTATATATAACACTCTGCGTCGCGCTGCCAGCCCTATATCTGGTTCATTATCGGAACTATTCCAAGCAGGGGTTAGGAGTCGTTCCCAGAGTGTTGTGATAGCACTTAGGACAGTACGAATTGAGCCGATTTGGAGGAGCAATTCGTGACAACCGCCCTCTCTATCGCCCAAGGATTGCATGAAGAGGATGGCTTGAGCCAAACCAGTAGCACATACTGTCATGGATGAGAAGTCAACGTTTTCTCTTGCTCGTAACCGAGGTTCTGGCATATTGGACACCTCTTTAGTCATACGACGAATATATCGGAGGGCTAATGAGGCCATGGGGAGGGTTCCGCCGGCGACAGAGGAGATGATAGATACTGGCAGAGACGCAGGGGTGTCTTCCATGCAAATAACGCTAAGCGAGCACATATTCGCACGTATCAGTGCACTGAGATTTTTGTCGCCTTCTCGAAGAGGATCAGCGACATCATCACTCTTCAACCCATCGACGATGACCCAAGCCCGGAAGAAGAATGCTTGAACAGTGGGGTTCGTTCTCATCAACTGCCTGCCAATTGTTGTGAATTGACACAAGGTTGATAGTGGATGTATGGTAATCCTAAGGGCTTCGTAAGTGCTAACAGACAGGCCATGTGGGAGGGCAGCGGGTCTTTGCGAAGGTGGGAGGAAATTGTTGCTGAAGAACTGCATCCACGGGAAGAGCATCTCCCACTTTGAAGCAACAGCGTCATGGACAATGCGTTCTCCAATACTGATATTGCTGCCGAGGTTATGACAAATTTGTACAATGCCACCCATGGACCATTTGGCGAGCATGATCACTGGTACAACATCAGGACTAATTCTGTCCGGAATAGGATATGCCTCCAGTTGTGCGTGAAAGACGGGAAGTAAAAGTGGCGTGACATCCTTGAGTTGATTGAGACTACCAACGACATCTCGGAGATCTTCGACTGAGCCACGCAATGCTCCATCAATTTTACGCTGTAAGAGCGAGAAACAAGGAATCAGCGTCGTCATGCTTCTTGAAGAGAATCGAGCATACCTGCATCAACCGAGGCAGAGCCCTGAGAGCTTCCCTATCCCGTGCGTTGATTCTGGGCGCCATGAGTGAATAGTGGTATCGGTCATCGATGGTATCAACATAGCATCGTACATAAGCATTTCCAGATCTAAATTTGTAATATGGACCAAACAATGTTGTCAGCCTTGTGGCGGTGCCACCATATCAACAAGACAACAACTTACAAGACAACAAAAAACCGAAAAACACAAAAAAGTCGATTTACCAGGACCAAGTCAAGGCTTGCGAAAGTTACTCGACATCTAACTTACGGGATCTAGTTGGTGGTCGCATATTCTCAATTGTCAAACTTCGTTTCTTCATTGTTTCCATCGTCACTGTGGCGTTACCGGTGTGGGCCTTCTGTGGCGTGCTACTCGCCAACACGAGCCCATACAATAGTGCAGCATAGAACG